GTCGAAAGTTCCCCCACGGACCGAGACCAGCACATTTATAACTGTTTAATCGCTTTGAATGCAACCATTGAGTACGTTGCCGGGGCTTAGGCCTTTCTTTCCGGCACGTGCCATTTCTTGAGGCGACAAGCCACCAACCAAGAGGTGTTACTTTCGCAGCCTTGGTCTGCGCAGACCCTGTTCAATAATTGGATCCCTGGTGTTCTAAAAGAACAGCAGTCTGCTTCGTCTGCTGCGGCGTCGCGGCATACGTTGGATCTGGTTGGGTCTCTGCACAGACGCCTGGATGGTGCCCCTAAACGGAGGGCCCCTCAGGATGCTGCGGCCGGGAAGTCGAAGGGGTCGGTGTCTTCTTCCTCCGGGAAGAGGTCCCGCCTTGAGGGCCCCGGTAAGGGCAACATGCCGCCCTTTCGGGGGAAGAAGGGACACTGGGGGAAGCCTAAGCCGTCTCGAGACGGTAGGGGCTCCTCCAAATGACTCTCGCTTGCAGGGTTCTTGTGCCGACAACGCCAGCTTCGGTTGGCCCGTCGGCGACCCCGAGTCATTCACCCCTCGACAGTTGCGCCTGCCGCAGCCTGTCAGGCCTCCCTTCCCTTCCCCTGTCGGGTACGGGAGTTAGCTCTACCAGAAATAACACCGGGGTTTTACTCCAGGATATTTCTCATTCCCAAGAAGGACAGTGCCGAACTCAGAATGATTCACAATCTGAAATCGTTCAACGAGTTTTACCTGCACAAGCCGCCCAAGTTAAGAATGTTGACCTTGGCGGACCTGAAAGCTCTGATCATGCTCTGATCATGATTGACATGAAGGATGCTTATCTGCATGATCCGATTCACTCGGACCATCACAAGAATCTCAGGTTTGTCTTTCACGGCAGGCACTACGAGTGGGTTGGACTCCCCTTCGGCCTTTCGTCCGCTCCCTGGCTGTTCACCCGGTTAACCACCCCCATAGTGGGGTTCCTCCACAGGAGGGGTGTCAGGTACTCCGCGTACCTGGACGACTCGCTAGTGGCCAATCGAAGGAGTCTCTATGCGGCCCTACCGGGCCACGTTGAACCTGTATACAGACGCCTATCTAGTGGGCTGGGGCGCCCATCTAGAGGGGGAGGTGAGCTCGGGGCTGTGGTGCGTAGACGAACTAGGTCTTCACATCAATTGTCTCGAGTTCAAGGCAGTGATCAATGCAGTCAATCACTGGAAGCATCGTCTCGTCGATGCCCGGCTCATGCTGACGACCGACAACACGACGGTAGTGTCCTATGTGAACAAACTGGGGGGAACCCACAGTCACTCGCTACTCGATCTCACGTTTGAGTTTTACGCTCTGGTGGACAGTGTCCCGTGCCAGGTACGCGCCCGTCACATCCCATGTGTGCGGAACATACTGGCCGATGCTCTATCGAGGCCTCGGGATCCGAGCCCAACGGATTGGATGCTAAACCCAGTAGTGTTTCAGTGGCTGTGCGAACGTTTGGGTCGTCCGATGGTCGACCTGTTCGCAACACGGTTCAACAATCAACTCCCGTTGTTTGTATCACCAGTCCCGGACCCGAGGGCCATCGATCACGATGCTCTCGCGTTAGACTGGACAGGCATGGACGCTTATGCTTACCCGCCGACGGCGTAAATACCACTCATTCTCAGCCGGCTCCAAGGAGTTCGCTGTCGAATGTTACTGATCGCGCCCATGTGGCTGAACAGATCGTGGTACCCCGACTTGCTGGCCCAGGCCATGCAGTCGCCACTTCCACTGCCTGTGAGACGGGATCTGCTGATCCACCCTCACACCTGTCAGCTTCATCCAAACGCAAGGCAGTTCAATCTGCTCGCGTGGATGTTGTCACCGAGTGTCTGAGGAGTAAAGGTTTTTCTTGTCGGGCGTCTCGGGCATACGTGATTCTACCCAGAAGGTGTATAATGCACGTTGGGCTATTTTCACGAAGTGGTGTTGTAAACATCACATTCATTCGCCAGATAAGGTATCTGTGCAGGATATTGCTCATTTTATGTCTCGCTTATGAGAGACCCGGAAACTCTTCGGGGGTTCCATTGCCAACTATGTCTCGTCCGTTGCTACGGTACGGGACATTGCTATGGGTACCAGTCTCTCAAAAAAGCACGCTCATCCACAGGTGAGTGCGGCTTTCTGTGTGTTTCTTTATTTTGAATTGACAATTATGTACTTAATTGTCTGTCGTGTATTGGAACCTTGTAATGCATGCTTTCAAATATTGAATTAAGGTCACGCGCCTATTACACACGCTTAAGTAGGCTTGTTCTTGGGATATACGGCCCCAATGAAATTAATTTCCCTCTTTTCGACTGTTTAACCTGATCTAAGATTCAGCTCACACGGATACTAAGATTCAGCTCACACGGATACTGTGTTCTCATCCGCTGCGGCGATGAAATACCTATCCAGTGGGGCCGTTTGGAGTCACCAATCGTTTGGCAATAACGATTGAGAGCCTTACGGTATGCGCTTGACAGTGCTTTGGTATCCCTATATGGTAACGCCAAGCTGGGAGCATGCGCATCGAGTTCTTCCGCCTAGTTGTATACTTCCGCTGGTCGGAAGAAAAACACGAGCAGTCAGGTTTCAGGTTGTAGGTGCTCCCCACCGCCTACTGTGGTAGTCAGCCTCGGTATAACAGTGGTAACGTATTACTTAATGTAATTTGTAGAATTTTCCTATTCAGAATATTCTATAAGTAATACGTTATCACTGGGCTGCTGCCCGCCCGCCCGTCCGTCCGTCCCCCGAGCACTTGCTCTCGCAAGAGACAAGAGTGAAGGGTGTCACATGGCAGCTAGGTGGCTACGCAAGTGCTGCATGAGGTGATTGAGATCTCTGTGGAAGATTTCACTATAAGAGCAGTTGTGGGGGACAACAGCCTTGGTATAACAGTGGTAACATATTACTTATAGAATATTCCGAATAGGAAAATTCTACAAGTTCTTTTATTATCCTTTGTCGGCAGCTTTTTTTTCAATTTGATTTAGTCACAATTTGGCTGAAATATTCCTGATGTGACTTTAAATATTAACTAACTCACTTACTCATGATGGAACTTCCACGGAACGACTTTGCTAACTGCCATACTAAAACCCCTATGTCAGCTGTAATATTGCACTGTCTTCAGTCTATCTCTGATCTTTGATGACAGCAGAAATGGGAAAATGTAATCATGTTTACTTGTCCCAGGCTAGATGGCATGTGAACTGTTTACATGTTTTTGTCTGGAGCCTAAGGTGACATGTCCAGAATTTTGTATAGACAAAACCTTTTCTCAAACCCAGGTTAAGACCAACTTGCAGATAAATATTTGAATAGCGTCTCATAGTCAGATGTATTTTGTTAAAATAACAATGTCTGTTTGCTTTTGGTTTCTTAAACTTGACAATACAAAGTTAATCTATAATTCTACCTCTCGTCCAGTCTTCCCCAGCTTGGCAACTGATTTTGCTCCTTGAATAAGGCTGGAAAAAAATAAGGTTCTCAGGCGATAGCTTTTGAAAATATCATGCAGTCAGTCGGCTTTCAAAAGACATTACTCTGAGCACTAACACCGAAAATACTATGTCAACAAATCCGTACTGAAGTACGCAAATTAATCATGTAATTACACTGTCTGGTTGTAAAAAAGTTCATTATATATTGGGACTTATGTTTGTAATCTATTTTATTAATTTTATTCAACATTTCATTCAATATTGTTTCAATTCATTTCGGCAAAATCATATGTGAAGTGATCGGAAGATCACACAACTCACCGTTATTTACAGCAACCACGGTCATATTACCGCTATTGATGCCTTGAAACAAACTTTAGTGGATAGAGAATGGATATAAATATCATAAATGCTATTCATTGAATTGCTAAAAGTCATATTTGTTGTAGTTTGACTATTATATGTCAACATAAAGTTTTTGCAATCGCAGGTGCAGGAGCATTGTCGGTGATTGATCAAATTCATCCATATAAAAATATCCAGCAATAGCGATCAACTGAACCAAAGTGCTACGCTTATGGTTATTAATTTGTATCACATATATATAGTAAAGCTGCAACTAACATGATATTGGAATAAATTATTCCTGATAAAATGATAGTTTCAGATACAATTCTTCCGCTCATTGTATCACAATTCTTTAAAGTTAAATTATTGGGTCATTTTTTATCGAATCACCAGTAGATTCCGAGAAACGTGTGTACAGCTGATTGCTACTTTCGAATTAGTTTATGAGATAAGACACACGGTAATTTTAATCTCTGCATATAAAACAATGCCAATCAGAACAGGAAATACAATTTAATCGGTAAATAATGTCTAGTGATGTTTTATCTCAAATTTGTATTTGCCAAGTTTAATTGTTATATTCTGTTTGTTTCCCATTTTTCCCCTGAAAGTATTACGATGTAATTGTTTTGGCAGAAGACAAACATGTTTTTATTGCAAATGTAGGGATTTTGTATGTGCTGGTGATGTGCATCATTCCAATCCGCTTATTTTACGAGACAAATACACATGTAATTGTAAATCATAACCCTGTGTATGAAACATTGTCCTGCATACAGTACACAAATACCATTGAATTTGTAAATCATCATGTCTAGTGATGTTTTATTGCAATTTTCAAGTTTTCATTGACCAAATTTGCAAACAGCAAAACAAGCACACAAACGCCCATTGCCACCATGACCATAACACATGAGATGCACAGTAAAGCAGTGCGCATGAAAAGGGCAGTAACTGCACTTTATATTGGATCGCATTGTTTTTAAGTATTATAGCATTTCACTGTTGGGTTTGTGTGTTCCAGACACGGAATATTTAATGATTTTATATTATTTTATTTTTTGAAGAATGGAAATAAAAACATAACATGCAGTGGACTTTGTGATGATGCGGCGGTGCCTGAGAACCAAGAATTATTATTTTTTAGCCTAAGCTGTAGGGCAGTTTGTCATATAGGCCAACTGTGTGTTCCAGAAAGCCAAGTCCCTGATGGCCAAGAAGGAGGAGGGGAACACAGCGTTCCGATCCGGGAAGTATGATGAAGCATATAACCTGTACTCGGAGGCCCTAGCTATAGACAGCAATAACAAGTTTACCAACTCCAAGCTGTACTTCAACAGAGCTACTGTGTGCTCCAAGGTGACTTAGTAGTACTGCTATTCAGGTTTATAGGAGGTGCAGAACTTGTCATGTCTTCTATGGGACATCGATGACTGTTATTTATTTAATCACAATGTTATCATATTTTGTGTTCTGAACACAGAATTGTTTGTTTGGTTATTTGATGCTGCACTCAGCAATATTCCAGCAGTCTCTAAATAATCAAGTCTGGACCAGCCACTCAACACAGAATTGAATTTGCCAGTAGCTACTTTTTAAATATGATGTGGATCCAGGATGCTTATTTTGTGTGACACAAGTATGCTGATAGAAAATCATAGTAATCAGTAGGAACCAGATATACATCATTATGTGCATCATTGCACAATAAAGAAGCATCACATCTAGAAATCTGTGTAAATTTTTGTATTTAATTCTTTCATGACCATGACTACATATGTGGTATTCGTTCTTTGTTTGTTCGTTGCACGCCGCACTCAGCAATATTACAGCGATATGCCTGCAGTCTGTAAATAATCGAGTCTGGACCAGACAGTCCAGTGATTGACATCATTAGCATCAATCTAGACAATTGAGATACGATGACATACGTCAACCAAGTCAGCGAGTCTGACTACCTGATCCTGTTAGTCGCCTCTTACGACAAGAATGGGTTGCTGAAGATCAATTATAACGCAGATCTTCCCGGGTATTATGTGGTATTCAGCGAAGCATGAACAGTATTTTTTTTATTATACATGTTATATATTATTATTCTGCTTACATTGTAGCTTATAAGTATCTAGGTACCCGCAGCCCTCCATTTGAGTGTGGAAGCAGAGGAAGTCCTCACTGTGAAGTCGACTAGATGAGAGCCTCAACCTATCCCTCGTGACAGTGCTGATAACTTATGCATAACATTATGCATCCTTAAAACAAGAAACTTTGAAAGCTTATTTTTTGGGTTTCAGCTGCATAAACTTGACCAGTCTATAGAAAACTGTTCCAAGGCAGTAGAGTTAGATGACACATATTTAAAGGCATATCTTCGCCGAGCCAAATGGTGAGTGCTTGAAAGGCTTTGTCAGTTGTCCAGTGCCATTTTATGACTGGAAGTTGAAGAACTCTCGTTCATAGACTGACTCAATTAAATTAAGCTGTATTTAGACCATTCTATGAACCACTAGTTTGACGTGTTCAGACTCTTCCCAGGAACTTTTATGCAGCTGGAACATTGCCGACTTCAGCAAGACAACAACCAACAACAGTGATATGAGTTGGTACCAACTGTAGTCATTGTAATTGCTTAAATGGCTAAGGGATTAAATTATTATGTCGTTTATGTGTGTATGTAGACATAGTAAATGGGATTGTCCTGCTGCCCAGTGTTGCTTCTGTGTGGATGTAGGTGTGTTGTGGTGTTGCAGCTATATGGAGACGGAGCAGTACCAGGAAGCTGTGTGTGATTATGAGAAGATTTTCAAAATGGACAAGACAAAAGGTAGGTTGTTCATGGCAATATAAAATCCCAATAGTTGACATGTCTGCTCACTTGACCACTCTTCCAACTATATGTATCACATGCAGTAACTCTCGTGAACATCGTAGCATGCTGTAGCTCACATAATGCTTGTCACATGTGGAGGACATGGTTGGCCCTGTCGTCTAAGGCACCACAATTCGCTGTGCTGTTTTGCGTCCCTTGGTCCAATTATGTTTCTAGGTTTGTCAACTCCATACCCGTGTTTGTGGGTTTAAAAAAAGTGTTAAAAGTCTGAGACATGCATCCCTGAAGCCTTTCCTCCCATATTAAGCTGACACCCCATAATATAACTGGAATACTGTTAAAAGTGGCATTAACCCACTCTCTCACTCACTCTTGTCACATGAAGCTAATTTGACAACTGTAAGAAGCTAATTCCCTGAATAACATGACATGATGTAGCTCACTTGACCAATGTCACCTGTTGCTCACTTGACTGTCGGGATATTGCAGAAAACAAACGACTGCTTCAGGAAGCCAAACTAGAACTGAAGAAAAGCAAAAGAAAGGATTACTACAAGATCCTTGGTATCAGTAAGAATGCTACTGAAGATGAAATCAAAAAGGCCTATCGCAAGAGAGCACTTATACACCATCCAGGTATGTGCATGTCTTATTTGGAGTGGCTCTGAATAGCTACCCGATTGCTGATGCCGTGTTAAGCCATAATTACTCTCACTCACTTATTGAGAGTTGTTGTTTGTATGTTTAAATGGTAGGACAGTCCACTTGGGCAGTGTTTTACACACTGGACCACCACATAATCAGGATCTGTTGTGTGAAGTATAATCTTGATTTTTATACCCCCGACAAAATGTCGGGGGTATATAGTTATACCAAGGTTCCGTCCGTCCGTCCGAAAACTTTGTCCACGCGATTTCTCTTAAACTATTCAGGGGATTCATCTCAAACTTAGTACATATAATCTGTGTCATATGGAGGGGTGCAGTCAAAAGAAAAAAATTGTTTGTATTAATTTTCCATATTTTTATGAATTTTTCAAACCCTAACGTCCGTCCGAAAACTTTGTCCGCGCGATTTCTCTTAAACTATTCAGTGGATTCATCTCAAACTTAGTACATATAATCTGTGTCATATGGAGGGGTGCAGTCAAAAGAAAAAAATTGTTTGTATTAATTTTCCATATTTTTATGAATTTTTCAAACCCTAACGTCCGTCCGAAAACTTTGTCCGCGCGATTTCTCTTAAACTATTCAGAGGACTCACTTCAAACTTAGTACGTATAATCTGTGTCATATGGAACGGTGCGGTCCAAAGAAAAAAATTGTTTGTATTAATTTTCCATATTTTTATGAATTTTTCAAACCCTAACGTCGGTCTGAAAACTTTGTCCGCGCGATTTCTCTTAAACTATTCAGTGGATTCATCTCAAACTTAGTACATATAATCTGTGTCATATGAAGGGGTGCAGTCCAAAGAAAAAAAATTGTTTTTATTAATTTTTCAAACCCTAACCAGGGTTTCCCCTGATGCAGGATTATTGCGTATATGACTTTCAATTAAGGAAAAATATGTCCAGAAATAAATGACTGCGTTATGACTGATGCAATTTCAAAATATCTATGTTGTTGTTTACCAGCTTTGGAATGAAAATATTACAACTACTCACCTGAACTTAATTTATAAACATTTTCCGAAGACAATATAAGCAAACGTCTTTAAATATACGTCTAGTCTTTAATTAATCGTCGTTTTTAGAAGTAACATAACTTCGCATAACACCACTGCCACGGGCTAATTTGCATAGCCTGTCACTTGACCAGACTTGTTTTAAAACAAACGCTAAAATCAGAACAGCCAGGGGCTTTACATATTGTTTTGCATAATTATATAGATATGCTACTAAAACTGTGCGACTGTGAGGTACACGACAAAATATTTTTATTCATCAACGTGAATGTTACTCTCACACTCCGTGTGGCTTCGATCACAGCACATGATGTAAACAAAGGAAAACTCCGCAAATGGACAAAGTTTTTCACGTTTCGGCATATTTTCTCACTAAAAGTTAACCATGACATATGTTTATCTAGATGTGTAGACTCGTAAAAAATGAAACAGAAGAAAATATTATCATTGTTGCGGTGAATAATGTGATTTGGCGTGGTCACAGTATGTGGTTAAGCGGAACCTATGGAACGGGGTAAACGGAAGTTGTAAGTATCGGAGGGACACATGTTTTTGCCGTAATTTAGGTAAACATTATTGAATGAAATTTTAAATAAAATTAATAAAATAGATGACAAACATAAGGTCAGATATACAGAGAACACATTTTTATTACCCGATAGTGTAACAACAGGATTAACTTGGGTAATTCAATTCAGATTTGTTATGCTATTTCCGATGACGGATCATGACAGCCTGAAATGAGACTGAAGAAAAGTCTGTGCGTATTATACACAAGAGATATTTTTTCAGGATTTAATTGCCCATAATTAGGGGTGCGTATTATACACAAATAAATATGGTATATACGAAATGTAAAGCTGTGGGCGTGTTTGTTGTTGCTAATAAACTGTATTCAACCAGAAAATATTAGGAGTGTTCACAATTAATACAAGATAACTAGATAAAAGATATAAATGAGTTAGTGGTATTAAATTATAATCTGACATGAAATGTATTTTAATATCCATCCATGATTAAAAATTATGTCTCACAATTGAGACTGATGTTATTTATTCATCCTGTATTAGTGTCACTGTAAATTGTTTCATGAGCTGTGAAGTAATTAAAGATTGTGAAAAAAACAACCCAACAAACTTTGTTTTTCATTCATATATCCTTTATTTCTCTGCAGTACAATCAGCTGAGAACATTAATTAGCACTTGTTAACTTAAACTAAAGACATATAATATTTAAAAGATACTTAACAATTCATAAATCATACAATAAAACATTTGACTCTCAAAAAATATTTTTGACTCCCAAAATTTCATAGGCTGAGTCAAGGTGACTCTCAGATATTGGAGTCTAGGGGGAACCCTGCCTAACCCTATCCTAGCTATTTAATTTGTAACTACTGACACACTAGGCGGGTCGGGGGTACTTTTGCACTTGTTTAAACTTATCCTGCATCACTCCTTAATGCATTTACTGCTTGTTCTGCAAGGTCTTGCTGAAAAAGAAGTTGTTCCAACTGGTTGTGTGGCTAATCCCATCACACATGTCACAAGTGACCATAGAAGTGATGACATAACATGTCATCACATCACATGCTGTACCGTCACCTGTTTTGAGCTCTCAGCCTTATCCATTTCAGTCCTTTGCTTGTTATTACAACACTATTGTTTTATGTGAATTATATCCTTCCTATGGTTTGTGTCTTCATATATTACTTATGACTTTTACCATTGCATTCATATTTATCACTTGATGATGGCTTTTTGTCACGATACAGGTGTATTGTTGTTCCAATTAGCCATTTAGATTTCATTTCTTGTCGTGCATTCTGTATTCTTTGTGTTTGCTTGGTACTTCTTATACATTGTCGTATCTGTGCTTCCCTGTGGTTACTGAAGTGTTTTATACGCCTTTCCTTGCGTAATCTTATCCAGGACCAACAACCCTCATGAGATCAGAGCGTTCTTTCGACACTTGATTGGCTTTCATACAACAGAGGTCCAACGTTTTTCTCAAGCCTGTGAAAGTTCCCGCCAATTCTCCCTGTCTAATCAGTGCCAAATCAATGTTGACTGAATGATTCCTCTAAGAGGGCAATAGTACGCTCGTAGAATTTCTTTCATGTGTCTTCTGGTAGACACGATCTGCACCAAAAGTTGACGATCATCACAAATTTTTGACCGATTCTACATTTGACAGAATCATCATATTCTACTGGGTACACACCTCCTGATCATCGCTCACAAGACAGGACCAGATGTCACACTTGTGATGATCAACTTGGCTCTACATCATATATTCAGCCTTATCTACTAGATACAGGATCAATTTTATTGTTCTTCCCACAACCGTCTGTCGACCTCTGATGACTCCACGCGGAGTAACAAGGAACCTCTCTTCATTGTCACCTTGATATGAGAATCAGAGTGCTTATACGACACCCAGGGGATGGAAATGATCACCTTACTTAATATGATGCGAAAGTTTTACATATATTTAGCCTTATCTACTGCCTACAGCTTCGACTTCCCACTAACCGTTACGTCGATGCCTCGGAGATCGGATGAGGAGCGGGTTTATTTCATCTACTTTAGCATTAGTGCGCTTATGAACACACGTTTCCACATATCTTCAAGGCAGGACACAATCAGACTTTTCAATTTTACACTCTTGTAGAGAGCCCAATCTAACAACTGCTACCCACTCTTCATCAGCTGCTTACACTTTGACAGTTGCAAGTGCTTCTGGGATTGGTCATGTCAGCCCAGAATGTAACAAGCTGAGGTCAGGATCCTTAGCCTATCTGTTGCTCTATCCCCCCATCTTAGGAGTCATTTCAGCTGATGGACGGTAGATTCGAACATCTTAGGAAGTTTCTCCTGAACCTCTGACATCCCACCTGATCTTAGGCTCCTCTACAGATTGAGGTACGCAGAAGACCTCAGGGCTGTGGTCCGGCGCGCAGTGCACTTGGCACATCAACAACTGGAGTTGAAGGCACTCAGGTGATATCACACTGGCAGAAGTGTCTCCGGTACACTCAACTCGCCATCTCCACCAACTACCTCACAGTGGTCTGAGGCCTGTGTCTTCAGGAGATGACTAACTCTCACTCCCTCCTTCAACAGACCTTTTGGTTCTTGCATCTGGTAGATCTGCAAGGCATACATGTTCTGTTCCAGCACATTCCAGGATGTTGGCCAAACAGGCCAAACAGGCCAAACAGGGCATCTCCCTCGGTATGGAAGCATCCTCTAGAGGTTTTCATCTTGTATGTCAGCATCTTGGTCATCCCAAAATTGCTCTCATTGTCACTTGCCAGAACTACCAGATCGCACCTTTTGGCTCCCCGATTCCATACCTGCAGGCTTGGGCGGTGGACGCATTGAGCATCCCGTAGGAAGGGCAAAGAGCGAACACTTTTCGCCACCATTACTTCTTCCCAGGGTAATGCAGAAGATCAGAGCAACCATTAGCCTTGCTTTCTTAGTGATCGTGGTTTGGTGACCCGCAAGAGGGTGGTTGGTAAACTTATAGGCTATTCAGAACGGGCGGTTATGACCATAGCTATGGCACATTGACCTTCAACCCAAGACCTTTATGATGAAAGGTGGCGATCCTACTGAACCTTTTGTAAAGTAAAAGATCAGGACCCCACCACTGTCAATTCTTGGCCGAATACCTCCCTTATCTGCGTACCAAGCGACACATGAAAGGCAGCACCATTACTACCTATTATAGTGGCTCTCATACTTCAGTGTTGCTAGTTCCAGAAGATAAAATAATGACCAAGATCCCGGAACTCCTGTCCAGAGCCAGCCTTACCCGACTCTCACAGTGTTCGCAGGCCCGACAGCTGTTTGACATAGTAAATCAGTTTCTCAATTTCTCTTGCTGCTTTTTACCGGTATGTCCTGATACTCTCGCACTGTCTAAGGACAGGATTGGTCGAAGTGGTTATAGATCTGCGCAAGTGATGTGCTCAACGACTGCCGTGAACTACTGGATAGTTCATGTCACTGAGGACTGAATCTGATGGTATTCCCTCTGCCATACCGTGCAATAAATATGCATTAAACACTAATGCAGGATAACTTTAAAACCTTTTTTTATATTTGTGTACTTATGCTGCATTACTTCACCTAAAGTGGCCCACCCGTTGCAGAGCTGCCTCCCCACGATGTCTTCAGATGTTACAATCTGGCAGTAATGTGATGATACGTGACGTCATCACTTCCATGGTCCTGTTGGAGCTGTGTGATGGGATTAGCAACAGCCAGTTGGAACAAGTTCTTCAGCAAAACCTCACACAGCTCTTCTTTTGTCAAGAACAAGCAGTAAATGCAATAACAAGTAATGCAGGATAAGTATGAAAATATAAAAATATCTCGATTTTACTAGTTGACCGAATCTGTTGTGTTAAGTGTGATCCCTTCCTGCAGGTTCTGTTAACGTTAACGTGATATTGCATATTACTAGGGCTGCAACGATACAGGAAGGTCACAATACGATGCGCATCTCGATATTCTGGTCACGATACGATACGTATCTCGATACGCAATGATACAAAAACAAGACTTAAAGCATGTCAAGATTGAACCTTTCATAATTTTGGAACAGTCAACATTATTTTATAATGACAAGACTACTGAAGTTGTTAAGCTTCAAAGTGGAACTTTCTCTAACTTTCTTCAAAACAATTCAAAGTTTAAACACCAGAAAATAATCAATGTACTTCACAAGTGATACAACTTCAAAGAATTTGTATGCAATGGTCGAAGAAATTGTATCTGAAATTATTGTTTTATCAGGAATAATATATAGAGGTTATCATGCGAGTGTGTTTGGGGATGGTAAATATCCTGCATTAGGAATAAACATTGTATTTAGCAAGCCTTGGCGCTCGTTACTATTTATTACGTCACAGGGTAAGTGATGTGTCAGTCGGACAGTGACAGTAGCTCCAACTCCAATATAGTTCCAACTGAAATCTGTTTCTTATACAGTGGCGAAGCAAATATTACGCAAAACAACAGTTGTTTTTAATTGCCTTTCGCGGCAATCCATCGGTCTGTCCGCTAGAGTAACTGCCCTTTGTCAAAGGGAAGCTACTCTAACCCTAGTCTATGAGACGTCACGGCCACGGTCAGACGTTGTTGGCAGTCAGTCTGTCCTGTTACAATGTTAAGAAGTGTCCTCAGATGTACACACAGCGACAAAACGAAACAAGGTAACAAGTCAAACATATTTCGGCAAAATCCAACTATTTTAATCTGTGGAGAAGGTTTCAAGCTGCAGAGGTCTACAAGCACAGATGTGGCTACTGATCCCGCTTGGCTAGGCCTCGTGCCCTCGCAATATTGTTTCGAAATTTATATCTCCAAAGTTTGTTTGTTTATAAACAGTGATGGTAGTCCTTCTTGACCTTTGATATTTGCATCTCTATCCGCATATGACCCCAACGGATATCGTTTTTATCCGTTGGCTTTCTCCTGCCAAGAAACCTACCTATTATATGATAAATTCCAATATCGTGTTACTTTAGTTGCAGCATTTACTCTATATGTATTTAAAATAATAAAAACCACAAGCGTAGCACTTTGGTACTGGTGATTGCTGTTGCAGGATATTTTTACGTATGGTACAATTTGACCAGTCACCGTAGGGACTTCCTCGCGACAGGTATTTAGATTGCGAAAAATGTTATGTTGAAATATATTTGCCAAATTGCCACATATATGACTTTTAACGAGTCAAAGTATGTCATTTTAAATATATGTATTCATTCTTTAGCAACTAAAGTTCGTTTCAATGCGTCAAAAGCGGTAATCTGACTGTGGTTGCTGTATCTCTTCACACACGATTTCACATAACTTAATGAAAACAATATTAAATGAAATTTTGAATAAAATTAATAAAATATGTTACAAACACATGTCCAGATATACAATGAACACGTTTTAATAACAAGATAGTATAATGATGGTATTGAATTGCGTACTTCAGTTCGGTTATGCTGACTGGTATTTCCGGTGTTATGTGCTTGCGGTGATCAGCTGATAATGTTGTTTGAGATGGGGAAAAACATCTGTCAGTGTAAAACCTGAGCTTATTAAAAATGTAAGTACGTTTTGGGGAGCCATGCGTTACCGTGCGCTATAACAAAGTTAGTGGTTTATTGAAAGGCACAATAGCAAGGAAAAGCTGTACTTGGGATTTGCATTCCGTATCGTGGCGTATCGATAAATAGGCCCACGTTTATCGTATATCGTACCGTGGGTCAAGTATCGCGATGCATCGGAATATCGGTGTATCGTTTCACCCTTACGTATTACTGCCTGCTGCAGGACATGTTGGTTTAAGTATAATTCCTTACTGCAGGATGTCATTGGAAGATATATAATTTAGCTAGTCTAACTGTAATTAAGCAATGAACTGGCACATAATCCTTACACCGATATGTCAGAATAACCATAGTGACTAATAGACATGTTTCATGGCCTGAATATGATAGAACTATGCTGACATATGAATAGTTGAACCTTATGCAGCAGTACTACTCTCCTGAAAATGTCCCACCTTTGTCTGTCTCCAGACCGACACTCCCATGACACTACTGAGAAGCAAAAGGAAGAAGAGAAGAAGTTCAAGGAGTTGGGCGAAGCATATGGTGTCCTTTCAGACCCCAAGAAGAAGATGCGCTATGACAGTGGACAGGACTTGGAGGAGATGGATGGCGGAGGGTTTGGTGGTGGGTAGATTAGGGAGGCATCTCCTTCAGTCAGCTACATGAAACACTCTCCATAGCTAAGTGAAATTGTTTTCGAACTTATTATTCAAGTTGTTTGTATTGACATATATACTTTCAATACATCCTACCAGGAAATGGTGAACTGTAGTTGTGGGTCTTCCACCTTTCAGGAGGGAATTCAATCCAAATGTGTCCTATGAAGGTCAGCTTGAACATGTTGAAGGTGCAGCTTTATAGATTGTTAAGTAGGTTGTTAAGGACTTCAATCTTAAGTTCAATCGCAGTAAAAGGGACATTAATTACACAGTGGGACTGTAGTTGAAAAGACATAAAAGTTTTCTAGATCAGTTTTTGTCAGAAGTAATGGCATTTTTTGTATGGAAAAGAAACTTGACAAACGATTTAGAGAAATTGTCACCAACAAATAGCACTCCAATACATGCTTTCAAATTGACAATGTTACAAGGTAATCTCAACAGATACAAATATTCAATTTGTACAATTCTTCTTTCAGATATTGATCCCAATCAAATCTTCCAGACATTTTTTGGTGGAGGTGCTGGCCCTGGTTTCCAACAGTTCCACTTCGGCAGTGGAGGTCACCCTGGATACACTTTCCAGTTTGGTTGACCTTCACCTCATTTTAGTCCTCTTTTTAAAAAAAAAACAACAACACTGTGACATGAATGTTCTGCTGATGGCAACTGGTGCATAACAGACATTGCCATTTGTTGCTGCAGCCTGACGGAACCTTGTCTTCAACATCTTTTTTAATAATACTACGAGTCCCTCTTCACTTCCTAGGATCCTTGTTGGGCTGTAGCCATTGAGCAGTAGGATGCATGTGGAAGTGCGGCAACAATGCATTGTACAAAAGAATGAAAGGTTATTAACAGGGAATCTAATTTGAGGTTTTAGAAACAGAATTAATTATGTCTTTGAAAAGAAAGGGACAGCAATGAAGATATGACCATCAGATGTGCACTGTGAATCCTGACTCTTGTTCCTTCGGTGTTCATTACTTGTGAGTGTGTGCCAAGGGAACCTCATCATCAGCTGGGAAGATACTTAGTTCAGCGAGTTGTATTGTGCAGCTGCTGTTGGTGTGGACGATGTATGTCAATTGGAATGGCCTCACTGTCCCATCCTGGTGTGGGCTGAAAGCAGATGGACCTTCAGCAGGCAATAGATACCCACAACAAGAAAGCAGTACATCTTCAGCAAACTGCGGACTACTTTTGTACCAGACTCTATGTTTAGATGTAGGAATCCATCGCTGTGCCCATAGGTACTGGTAATGGACTTGAACTGTGACAGCTAAGGATTCAGCCCAGTCACATGCATATAACTTCAAGGTAGTTACTCATTAGGTCCTTCAGGCACATTGTTAGTTGAAAGTTACTTAGTCTACTCACAACTTTAATGTTTGTTGCAAATTGAACACAGTGTGTATTTTAATTTAGATATTAAATCATCAATTCATTCTTACTTCAGCTGGGAAAACAAATCAAGGTGCCATTGTTCTATCTATGTGACTGGACATTTGCAAAATATATTTTCCTGAAGGTAGTAGGGTAACTGGCAATGTACAAGACCATCGTTCTTTTCCTGGAGGTTAAACTAAAGAATGTGATAGATATTAGTATGATTGCAAGCTTCAGAAACAGACACTGTAGAAACTTACACAAACATATGTTGATTTAGGAAGCAAAACTTAACTTGGCAACATCATTTCATTGTTTCAGCATTTTATGTATATCATTGGTGTTGTACTATTTTGTATATACCTGTAGAGAGAAACTACGTCATCTGAATCATGCAACAGCTTCAAAGAGGTTTGAACTTCCATCATATTGAGTTCAGTACAAAAAAGCTGTATTGAGTTATGTACATGGTTTTAGACACTATTTTTACACGTGTGTAAGTTACATAAACGATTTTTCTGTTGTAGACATATTCAGTTGGTTGTATACTTTTGTGCAAATTGTCCTCTGTAATGATAGATAATGTAATGTTATTTGCATAAAAGAATATAAAAATTATTTACACTTTTTCTGTAACTGCATGAAATACACTGGCAATCACTGAATAGTTGGTGCCGACATGATCACCCTTTTCCTTTCGTTGCCATGTCCTGGTGGAACATGATTCACTGGGGCTAACATGGTAAAGTCACTGTATGTCCTCTGGTGAGCTTGGGTTAGCTTTCACTTCACACAGGAACAAAACACAACTGCCCAGTAAGCTCTGACAGAGTAGGTCAAACTTAAACAGATAAGATGTATGATGCTGAGGATGTAAGATATGATGACTCTTTTCTTCATTGGATTATGATTACACTAGGGAAGTCATGAATTAGTCTGTATTTGCCTATGGAAATATACATGGAGAAATCCATTGTACCTTACCCTTACCTATTGTAGTGCCAAACAAAAGCAGTAATTTTGCACAACTGGTGAGAGACCAGTCATGCTTTTCAAATGTAATTTGGTTCAAACTTCAATCTCTTTGTGGTCATTTGAGATTTTGGTCAAATTAAGTTTATATGTAAACACTGGTTTCGATGGCCAAACACATCTATTCAGTTGGAAGTGGTGAAAGGTTCCTAGACCGGCCTCCGCATGGCCCCCACCAGGCCTCAGACCAGTCAACAGGAAACCGTAAGGAGACAATGACCAAGAAATTCCTGAGTTGAAATTCATTGAAGTTCTGTTAAAAAAAATACATACATGAAAACTCGACTTTCTTCAAGTTTCACAATAAGTCAGTTTTTATCACCCAGTACACAAATATACTAAGATCAGCTTTATGAATGCAAAACCAGCTGATCTCCTCCGCTTCAAAAGGATTTCTTGTTCAGTGTATGTCTAAACATTGATCGACTTTTAATTCAACATGTCTGTTTGAGTCAGAAATGGTGTTTAAGGGTGTATTGTGTCATGGTTAGGATGTGTTTGATGTGTTCAATTACAGACAAAGAGATGTCAATAGATTTCTCACCTGGACATTTGTGTTACACTAAGCAAGCTAGGCATGCCATATCGAAGATGGTTGTATGTTCAGTAATTCCTGCTGACAGAAAGGAATATTACATTTAAACAGCTTAATGAATAATTAGGGAGGGTGTATATTTTTAATATTTATTGAAGTAAATAAAAGGTCATCTGTCAAACCTGTTTGTAATTATTCAAAACAATGTTTCCACTGTCCAAATTGATACATTGTGCCTTGTCAAGGTTTGTATGAAAACATTCAGATGGAGTATACTTATCAAAAAAAGAAAACCAGAAGGGATATGTTCAGTGTTCAACGCCAAAATAGTCACTTAATTGTGCAGTCTTATGGTGTGTGGAGATCCCAGCATGTTCCCATCAAGTCAGATGAAAAAAATGTGCCAAAACGCAGTCACATGCAAATCATGGGATCAATACATGTGCGTCTTCTGCATGTGCCAAAGGAATAGCAACATTATAAAAGTGTTAGCTTTACAGTTGCCTGACCCCTGTATTGTGCCAACTAAAGAACCGCCAGGGCTATAAGTTTGTCCCCCCAAGCGTCACCATAAAAAGACTCTGGGCCAACAGTGACCGACCCAGATCGAGTAGACACTGTGTGGCCACCCCCGGGAACATGAGGCTGACAGTTGTAGGCTGTCTGTGGTTAGGCATTTCCACCAACGGCAGAACATACCAGGTCCTTGTTCAGGGACACCTAAATGCAACTGGAATGTTTTCCAATGATGCTCCTGGAAGTGACCGTTTCCAGTGTTTCGCTGAAATTCAGCTGAATCCACAATGGTAATGATCATTTGCCTAGATGGAAGTTTAAAAGGGCACATTGAGTTATCCATCTGTTTGGTGAACATATCACTCAGGACTTGATCAATGATGATATTGATGTCTCCAATGGAAATAGTACTAAAGGGATTATTGAAATAGCGGAGGCATCCATTGGAATTTTTGCAAAAGTATCAAATAAACATCCAGCTAGACCCGTGAAGATCCGTGCTACAATACGTCTTCAGCAACACATGCTTGCGTAAGAGGTGACTTACGGGATCAGGTTGTCAGGCTCGCTGACTTGGTTCACGCATGTCATCGTATCCCAATGCGTATATCGATGCTCATAATGTCAATCACTGGATTGACTGGTCCAAATTTGATTATTTACAGACTGCCGTTATACAGCTGGAATACTGCTGAGTGCGTTAAACAACAAACAAACAAATAAACAGTCACTTGTGAAATCAGGAAAGGTAAAATCCAATGGGGCAAGGGAAAGGGCTTACAATAACGTATGTCATACCTTACTCCGATGTAATTTGGCTGGAAAATATGTTCGGAGTTTCAACGCATTGCCATGAGTACTAAACGTTCACGTTGGTGTCGTTTGTCACTAAAACGAATAGTTTTACCCCCCATTAAAGCCCATTTGGCCTAGAATAAAGATGATAAATGGTACAAATAGCTGATCTCCTATTCCTGCTATGGACATAACTTGCAACAGTGACGAATTGTCACAAAGCTAACATGTTGGTAGAACAATTCAAGAATGTAAGCAGTTCTTAAAATTTTCCTCGAAAGATTTCAAGATGTTTTGGAATTAACTGGATATTTCATCGGCTATGGTTGATGTTAATTCAGATTTAAATACCCCATTTACACGTAAGCTTAAACGGGCAATTTCTAAAGCTGGCATCTCCTCACCCGGACCAGATAACTTCTGTTACGAGATGTTTAAGAATATGCCGGATTCTGCTCTTGAAGTTATAGGCGTGCTTTTGCATGTGTGCTGGCAATCTGGATCTGTTCCAAAGGGTTGTAAGACCGCCTCCGTGGTCTAGTGGTAGAGCGTCCGCCCGGAGAGCGGAAGGTCCTGGGTTCGATCCCCTACCGCGTCATACCAAAAGACGTTAAAAGATGGTACAAGTTGTTACCCTGTCTGGCGCTCGGCATTAAGGGGCTAAAACAAGGACTGGTCGGCTCGGAGTCAGTATACTGTGGCTGAGTGGGGTATTCATGTTAATACCCCACTCATGGTATCTCAGTGGGCTAGCACTATAAATCGGCATCAGTCCGGACTGGTACAAGCAGCCACACAAACACACACACGTACATGCACGTCGCTATATAAGTGCAATAATCTTGGACGCGACGTTAAACCCCATTTCACCTCACCAAAGTTTTGTAGACACGCCATAATTATACCTGTACCAAAACCAGGTTAAGACCCCTCCCTGCCATATCGCATAGGCCAATTTCCCTTACCTCTAAGTTATGTACAATTAAGGAAAGAAAAGTTACCAAATATTTGACTTTCATGTATTTTCTTGAGAAAAATTAGCTCGTATCCAGAATTTAATCAGGGTTTAGAATAAGTCGCCCATGTACTGATCAACATGGAAGACTACAGACAGAAGCTCATGCAGAAAGCAATGTGCAACCAGGAGTACATTTCTTGATAATGAAAAGGCATACCTATGATTTGGCGACAATGGTTGATTTTCAAATTGTAAAGGCTTCATGTAAAAGGTAACACATTTAGATGGACACTTCCTTCATGACTGTACTCCACAAGGACATGGAATTAGGCCGTAACGCTGCACAGTTTGCAGATGGCGGTTTGTTCTGGAGAAAAGTTGGTGGCTCTACTGGACAACTTGCCGGGAGGACACACGCTATTGACTGCTGATGACCTTCACCTTGGACCTGTGACCTGTCGTTTCAGCAACATTGATTGGCATCAACTGTGGACATACTAATCAGTTACTAACGTCATCTCACTATTATCAAAATGTGTCTTTGTGTTCCTTTTTGGATAAGAATATATGTCCCATAGTTACATGGCATATAGAGCCATAGTTACATAGAGTTTTAGTTAGCCATAGTTACATAGAGTAGCTAGCCATAGTTACATGGCGTAGATAGACACAGGTCACTTCTATGAACATTAAGCCTGAGTTAGATTAGTCATGTAAGCGAATGCAACTATTTTACGGTTTTTTCTTTTCTTTTTATAGCGATTGGTACTTAAGACGTATTTGCTTTTAAAGACATACCCAAAGAGTCCATTTATTATTCAAAATTACAATAAAACACAATTGCACCACTTTTACACCAAACCATCATGAAATACAATTGGGGAGACCAACGCGTCTCATGAATATGGAAGCCTCTCACAGCCGTAACAGTCTGAAAAAAAGCCTTGATCATGAATGGAATACCGCCACATTCCACCTATGTAGCAATGGGTGGGTCACGAGCAAAACATCAGTGGTGCATGTACATGAGCGTTCCTGGTTCCAGCCGACATCGTTTATTTATACTCAGGAATAGTAGATGTCACTCCTTTTCTCCAGGTCTACGTTTTTCCTTCATATTGCAGGTTACGCCTCCTAAACAACCCTCTTTGGGCCCCTTCCCTCCCGCTTCACCCCACCTCTTGCCAGTTTTAAATTCTTATATACTAACGGGGAAAAGTAACTGTGCATCATATACAGTTTAATAAAAATATATTTATTCTGAAATTAAATAATGCATCTTTCAATACATATGGGGACTTGAAGACTGTGACATCTCCTCGACATTAGGTTTGTGATTCACAATTAGCACGTGTATGTTCATACACGGCGCACAATGTGGATGTTTGCGTGTTTGTTTTAAATGTGAACAGATCACAATGATTGTTTAGCTATCAGGTGGTCAAGAAAACACTTGTTTTACCGTAAATAACTCTGACCTAATGCCACGACTGACAACCAACGTCTACGTATCTTGTGTACGCTACAAACAGGAATGGCGATAAACGAAGCTGCTTCCACATGACCGTCAGGCATGCCCAGACAGCAGGAAACACAAGATCAGTTGGGCGAATCCTTCCACATGACCGTCAGGCATGCCCAGACAGCAGGAAACACAAGATCAGTTTGGCGAATCCTTGGTTCACAGTTGGAACAACATCCCCCAGGCTGTTTTCAAACATCTAATATCTTCAGTGCATCGCCACTGCCTCGCCTGTATCAACGCAAGTAATGTTCACACCCGATACTGAGTTAATTGCTAGCTGAGTTGTTACACCACCCCTATATTAGGGCGTGTCGCTGTCTCCTGTTACCAGGTATGGGTTTTGTCAGTGAATTTGTTTTGATAAAACACTGATCAGGCGAATTAAAAAATATAACGCAGGTATTTTCAATTACATAACATTTACTCTACTTTATATGTAGCACTGTCATTTGTTATAATGGTAAAAAGGCAATCATAATTGATCGCCCAACTTGTGTTAACACATCCAGCCCTTTGGTGTTACCCATTTGCCCCAACGGCTGCTTGATTTGTGTATTGCATTATTCTGCCCTCGCCTTTTGGCAGTGCATGCATAATGACATCAGCAGCTTCATGTCGCTGACAATTATGTCTGGGGGATATGTCGTGGGAGATACCTGTGCCTGGTTTTAATGAAACTCCTGCTTAGAATTTGTCCTTGTCTGGCTTGAATAAGTCTACAGCTAGGGGGATATATGATGTGCCGGGGGTGACTTTGGCTTGACTTTCTTTTACACACCATAAAAATATTTGTCGTATGGCAGTGTGTTTTTGAAAATCAGCGAAACGTTTGTGCAAAGATTTATTTTCCGTACGCAGCTGAGGGTGAGAAACCCATTTGACATAACTGGTATCAAACGTGTGTGAGATCGAATTCCAGGCCGGTGATTGGCTACTCCATGGTGATGACCTGGGGCCAAATTATGACAGACTACTTTCCTGATTGTAAGTGATTCATAAGTTTCTGGTGCTTCAGTCAAATGTTCACCTACGTCATCGTGGAACGTTGTGGAATGTTTATTCCTAATACAGGATATTTACCATCCCCAACCACACTCGCGTGATAACCTCTATATACTTTTACTTTACTTTCATTTACACACCAATATCTGATATGTAAATACATGAAGATTTTGGTGTTTGCTTATTTTCATTTCTAGTTTTGAACAAGACAGCTTTAACACTACCATTCATATCCATTTGGTCGACCCTTGTGTTGAGTATACTAGCTAGGATATACTCTTCTAAAAAGTAGGGGATCATGAAATATAAATGTTAATACCAAGCATTAGAACAAAGATTGGTGTTGACGGCAAACACCCTATGCAAAAATGTTCATGTCTGTAAACTTAACCCCAAAACTCATCCTTTAGTTTGCACGTGCCTCACGCAGTAGCGACACGGACGTTCGTAGGGTGTCATTCCAGATTTTGACACTTTCAAGGACTTTCGATTAATCTTTCTGGACTATTATTTCTGTAAATATTATGCAGTTGTGATTTACTTAATTTCACGAACTAGCGATGAGGCAACGCGCGTGCAGTGGCCATGCAATACGTTCAATGATCATGTACCCACAAACCCGAAATGTTGCCGATCGACCCCGTTCAGAGCGTCCCAGGTCGACAAGCGTATAGGAACGTTCACAAGGCTACAGGTACGAGTTACGGAGCTGACGATTACGAATCGTTTACATACATTTCATCTCCATGCTCAACGGCCACGTGTTGTGCCGCTCCTTACAAAAATCGCCATATTGCCAACAGACGTCTATGGTGTACACGTCAAGTGTCATGTTTACAGATGTGTCCCGATTCGCTTTTAAGGAAGGGCCCATGGAGAGTATTATCGGGTCAACATTCTAACACCCTTTGTTGTCCCGTCTACAAGGCGCGTGGGTCGACGTATCGTCTTTCAAGAGTGAATGAATGTTTGAGGTACTAACACTACTGATCCAAAAACTTAACATTTCTTATCTGACCCCTATCGCCCTTCAAGATGGTTGGTGGTCAAACCATGTACGATCGTCACTATCATACAACTATTACTAGAAACTAATATCTCTTACAATTTTGGATACTTTAAGTTATTTCCCAGTACGTTTTTTTTAAAAGAGAATATCATTACTTTATTAAAAAAAGTTACCCACTTCCAGTGTGTGTTATAAGCTCTGTAAGTATATGAGTGACCTTGGCATCCGGCATGAGTTGAAAAATGACAAATTAAACAAATCAATAAAGGCATCTGAATATTACTGGTTTGAAAATTGTTTGTTTCTATATATATTAAGGTCTTCAACATGTGTCATGATGTTCCTTCTTGTGGCAAAGTCTACTAAATCTCAGCAGAGCAGCATCCCTTGGGCCATCCTGAATCATGTCATCATGGGTGGATTTCAAATCCTAGATTCACATGGATTATGATTCTTGGTTTCGGCACAAAAATATTTTTTTGAAATCATATATATCTTAAGAATAAACCTATTATTATGTAAGACATCTTCTCAATGTTTGTTGCATGCCTAAGGGATGTAACACTACAGCAGATCAATGCACTCGACGACTTTCCCACCTGAGTCCCCATTGCAAATACAAACTCCAGGAATGCTTTACATTGCCACTGAGACTGTCAGTTTCCAAACAGAGTTTTTTCCATAAAGTAAGAGAAATGCATGACTGTAACATGCACTGAATACGTGACAAACAACAGACAATGCAAGTAGCTGGTAATATGATTCATCATTTATTATATATGAAATGATTCCCTTATAAGATGCTGAAATGTGTGGCACACCAGGGCTGACCAAGTCCTCAATGAAACAGACATGTGAACCTAATACTAGCAATACATCCAGGAGAGCATGTAGGCTGCAATACTGTCACAGCAGTTGGTCAGGAGAATATTTACGCCTACCATGAGTCCAATCCAGTCATGGTGAGGGCAGGGTATGAGGTATGGTCAGGATACAGTACATCAGTCATGGGGAGGAGGGGCAGGCTTTAGTGTGTTGGTGAAAGCAGAGTAAATCTCATAAGAATCTTATAAGAACAACAGACTAATGTCCTGAAGCTGGTGGAGGATATTGCTGGCACCAATGGGCACCACAGATGGTAGAATACACCAGATCTATAGTATTGTGTGTGTATGTTAAATGCATGGTGAGAAAGTAGTGCAAAGCACAATTGTTGGGTAAATTTTGCCAATATTTTTTTCAATGTTGTGGGGACATGAGGTAGGCCTGGGGTGGGGTACAATAGGTGTATGCATCTATGCCATAGGAAGTCAGCACTTGTACAAGCATTAACATCATGACCACAGCAGACAAAATTTGATTTGAATCGTCTCACACAAATTTTGACATGTCAAAAGATCTTGAAATATTGAAAAAGCATTAAACAATGTTGGGTATGTATCACGCTACTCCAGACATGGATGTACTGCACTGTAGTATGTTAGGAGCTTAACTTGTCTTGGGCATTTAACCTCACCACTGGTGTATTCCATGACCAACTGTAGCCTATATTAACAACCAAGGCAACACTTCTCTAACTTCATGGCTTACAGACTTTTTGCTGTTACGTTATCTGGAGTAGGTCCATTTATTTTACAAGAAAGGTTGTGTTTTCTGTTGATTGAGTTGATTCAACAGGAAAAACTTATATGCAAGCCCTGTTTTTTTATATAATGTTAAACACTTATACAATGAAAATATTCACTTCTCACTTTCCTTAATCAGCTGTTTTCCGAGACATCCAAACTGAGTATAAATATTTCTAAAATGGCGCTTGTTTTAAAGACATTATGAAGTTACTATTAACCTTCTGGGTAACCCAAAGCAACATAATCTGTATTCATTTCAGTTGCTTTTGGTTCTAGTTGGTAAATGCATAAACCACAAAAATGCAAAAAAGTGTTGCCTTTCCATGAGAAAAGTGCAAAACATCAACTAGACTCTCAATACAAACAACCTATATAACTTCACAACTGTCAACAATAACAATTCTGTGTAGACTTTTGATATGTGTAAATACAAAGATTGGCTCTGTAGCCTGCCCACTGCCAGTGTGGAGGGCCTGCCAGTCAGGAGCATATAACAACATGTAGGGCAACAATTACAATAGAAAACACATTAACAAGACATTTAATGTGAGGATAAACATTACTTTGAAATTATTTTGATTGACTCTGATATAGAAAATGATTTAGAGGGTATAACCTATTGATATGGTATGCCTCAATATTACATTGTGCTTCTTAATGGGCAAGTTTTATGCTGCTTTGAACAGTATTTCAATAATATCATGGAATATCAGCTTGATGTGGGAGGAAAGTGATGTAGATCCCTCAGCTCCAGGATGTGGTCAAGCCACTGATTGCCCTAGCAATGCAGTGACCTAGTGTTGTGTAGGGAGGGTTGAACAAATAACTAGTCATAAAAAGTGCTCCAGCAGCACTTGCAGGGGGAAGCCTAACCCATGTGGCATGACAACACTGACATGTCAACATCAGTGACGTGGCAGTTGACATGGCAACAGCACTTGACAGTTGCCATATCAGGTTTGATTGCTTTGTTTGAAATCCTTTCTGAAGTATACTCTACAATCAAAGGTCAGTGACAACTTGCTCAATACTGATAACAGTGGCATGACAACAGTGGCATGACGACATTGGCACAACAACATTGACATGACGACAGCGGCATGACAACACTGACATGATGAGAGTGATAGGATAATGGCATCAGCGGCATCATGACAAATTTGCAGAATCTCCAATATGCTCATGACCTTCACTAGATATGAAGATATGGAGAACTGAGTGACCCTGCGTTACAAGAAAGGTCATGTCTGAAAAAGAGTTTTCCAGGCTGGTCACCACTGAGAACTTGCTGGAAGTAATCCTCCCAATAAGCACCATGTACAAAAGTTCATAAAAGACAGGGACGATGAAGCAAGATTCCTTTGTAATTTTCCTTGCATCATGAACTTTCTCAGAACCTGACCTGACCAGGATCAACAGTCAATAATCTCGGCCCTTGTTAGAAATATGGCCCCTGCAGATGTATTGTTGGTCTGTCCTAACATACTAGGTGAGCACTTTTATCTAAATAAATACATCTCCTGTTGGAGTATTATTGTGTATAGCAAGACTATGTTCTGTCTGTGTAATGTCTGGTGCCATGGAACCCATGACTACATGTTCAAAGCATCACATGGCATCCAATGGCAGTCATAAGGGTACAAGGGTTTGGCATGTCTTTCAGTAAATAATGGAAGATCACAGTGGGGGACCATACTATCTTTCTAAAACTCTATAAAAGGTGCAAAGTTTGCTTTCTCATGTGCATTCTATGACAAATTCATGAAATAATAAAAATGGTGCCAAAACACTGTAGCTCACCTAGATATGTAGACAACAGATAGACATTATCCGAAGACAGACACTTAACAAAACCTGCCATCAGCATTGATTATTAACCAAAATGATATGTTGACATAAATTGTTTTTTTCAAAACTGGCTGCCATGGCCATTGTAAATGTCGGAGAAGACATTTACAATGGATGACAGACAAACAGGCCATGACATGAATGTACTTGATCTTCAGTCAAGTTGGCTCAAAATAATATAAGTCCTCACCAGTGCAAAAGTTGTAATTATAACAAATCATTTAAAAGAGGAAAATTGATGTGTATCCAAGGTCCCTTGCAGTGGTAACACATGACAGGATGGGAAGCAAGCTAGGCGGGGGGAGTTCTACAGACACTACATCAAATAGTCAGTAGGATTCCTCTTACACAGACATGTTTCCATGAAGGAAGCAAGCATGTATCACAATGTCTCCTGTGATTTGCAAAATACAATCAGCATAAAAATGTTCCATATACAAATAATCTCAACCTAAAATCAATACCATTATCAGGAAATACTGTTTATATTCTACTCAACTTTTGCCAGGAGAAGTGAATGATAGAATGTGATACATGTGACTGCACAACATCTGCACCACAGTTCGGATTAAATAAGTATTTTGTGTGTGATGTCATATCATGGCTTCTTGGAAGCAATCAACCATTAAGAGTGTCACATAATGCAGAAAAGAAATATGGAAGTTACTATGTAGGTTTATGGTAGCAGTTGGTCAAAGTCGAATGCACTGTTTCACTCTATAATTGTTGACTGCTTTATTTGTTTTCTCTGAAGTAGCCAGAATAAATGGGAGTGGGGTGCTTATTGTTTTGATATCACATTTCAATCCGTTTTTGGAGAGTGGGAGTTTGATAAAAAAATCTTGAAATTCATTATTTAAACAAGAACTTCCTCTGCTATGATAAACCAGCTGCTTGTGACTGCAGAAGAAAAGACAATATAGGTGGCATTATCTTGTAGATCTTTAACCCCAGAACAAAAATGACCACTTCACACACACAGATGAGTGTGTCACACACTGAAGACACTCCATTTCATGCATGTAAAACTATAGTAACCTTGGTTTTGCATAGGCAGATTTCCTCGCAAAAGTTGAGCAATACAAATGTGTGTGTGTGTGTGCATCGATACATTAGATAACAAATCTAGCCCAACAATACTCTAAAATCATACATCATTAGAATAATACAAAATCCTCAATATGATATAAATTTACAAGAATAATGGCAAAAGACCATCAACCATAGAGACAAATGTTATCATATGTCTAAATCTTGTATATATAATACTCTATTAATATCAGACAACAACAGGTGCTGCTGCAACAGGTTGGAGATGACTAGATGCACAGAATATGATACTCTGATAACATTCTTCCCTTGGATAACATACAGAGTTCAACAACACAGACATTGTATAAATAGTATATTCTAACATGTTGCAGTCCATTACACTTAACCTCTGACACAAAACTGCACATGCACACCTTGCATTCCACTTGTTCTCACAGCACAGGTTTGTAGATCTGAAGCAGCATACCAACATAACAGAGGCAGTTGGTTCAGGGAAGAATTGAGAAATACTTCTAAAAAATAAAATAATAAGATAAGAAATGGTCAATCAAATCTGCATTTAAATATTTTGGAATAACTTTTACCAATTTAAGGCAGACTGATCTGTTCAACAAGGGGACATATTCTGCTAAGCATAAGCACCTGTATATAGCTTGTGTAGTTTATAAATAAGGATATTGAAAAATTCTTGCATTTGAATGAATGTAGGTAATAATGTATAGCCTACTGCTAAAAACAAGCTGATGTGTTACAGTTTCTCACTTACTGTATCAGATCAAAATATGACATGAAAGATGAAATGTGAATTTGCTAAAAAACGATAATGACATGTTGTACACAGTTCAACAATAGTAAAATAGTTCCACCAATAATATTGGCTAATCACTGTCTTGAAGTGGGTACTCTTGTACAAACATGTATGGGTGGGTATGAAGGGTGGTGTCTCCTATTGCTGATTATTGCCATGTTAACTTAACGAAGTAAGACTGAAGACAAGAAAATAGGATGAGGCAATGAGTTTGACTCTAAGGCTCATTCCCCTGCTGCATGTATAGAGTTCTTGAATGTGGGATTTATAACTAGCTACTATGAACTTGCACAAAGACAATTTTCAACATTTCAATATAACAATATCCACTGGAAAACAAATGAACCTTTTGGTGAGCTGACACATTGTGACAAACAGATATCCCGCCGGACAAACACATCATGCCTCAACTTGTCTCTACTCCAGCAAACAAACACTTCATGTTGAGCCACAGCCATCATCTTATCCTCCAATCAGATCACAGATAAAAGAAATTCAACCAATCACAGTTGAGATGGCCAGGATCACCTCTGGCAACCAACACAAAGTGCAGTCTGACCTCGAATGTAATTCCGACATGGACACAGTCGTCTCAGATCGTGACGTCCGCCAACACAACTGAACAAGAGTTCTTCCCCTTGGAGTGTGCACTCTTTAGTATTTACATTATATGCTGGATAGTAAATGTTTGCTGAGCTGTGTTTGCTGGAACACTGCACATATAGTTTTTCTATCTCCTCTAATGAGTTTAGCTCCATGAAGTGGCTTGGTTCACATATTAGATCTGAAAGGGAGAAATCTTTGGTTAACATTGTCCCAAAATATCATACATTTTCCCCATCAGTTGGGACATGTTACATCAACTAGATACATCTGTGGAGAGAGGGCTAGTGTCCCAGCATTGAAACATTCAGGGAGGGATGCATGCTAGGTCTATGTAAGAGACTCAAGAGATAATACCAATGAAGGGTGTGAAATTTCACTTCTCAAAACACGACTTTCAACTTTTAGCATGTTTATTTGAGCTTGTTGTAAAATCAAACTTGATTTTTATTAAATCTTATAAAGGTGCATTTGCAGAGCAACAAAACCTTATATCTCCACAGAGTTCTACGTCTTAGCATTTACAAGACACCTACTCTGTTCCCAGCAGACGTCTTTACAACTCTTGCCGGGGGAGCCCAGGAGAAGACGCACAGCATCTGTGGGCGGCCATTGTGCTATCTGTTTCTGGAACTTGCAGAAGTCCTGATGTTCAATGTAGGCATTCATCCTCTGCAACATCCCTTCCTCCGTGTACTCAAAGGGCAAATATGGCTCAAACTGGAAAATATAGGGCTCATGTCAACTGATACGAAATAAATATCAGTAGAATAATATGGAGATCTACCTGATTATTTTATATGTTGCATGTTTAGAGGAGTCAATATGTATTCAAATATAAAAGCAGCTGTAAGAATATCCAACACTACTATTACTGATTATTTGATAGTTTAAGTGGAGTCAGACAAGGTTGTGTTATCAGCCTGTTTTTATTTGCAATGTTTATTTGAGAATTGCAATCCATGATAGAAATTGTAAAAGTTATAACTACAGGTGTAGAATATTTTGAACTACTGTTATTATTGAATGCTGATGATTTATGTATTTTTGATGACAGTGTTATTGGTTTGCAAAGAAAGATTGACATTTTACATAAATATTGTAAATCAAGGGGCTTACAGATAAATATGGATAAGACAGAAATATATTTTTTTTGAAATGGTGGTCATTTACGACATTATGAGAAGTGGTAATTTGATGGAGAGGTACCGGTACTAAAAACATCAACTTGTTATAATTATTAAGGTATTATGTAGTCTGTACAAATACTCTTGTTTCAAAAGCCAGTAAAGCTCTGTTCGTATTTAGCAATTACAGCATGAATACCCAAATATTCCTGTAAACATGTTATTTAAGTTGTTTGATTGTAAAATCAAATATCTTTTACTATATGGGTCGGAGGTGTGGGGCTTACAAGAAAGAGCTGTTATTGATAGATTTCATAATAATTTTTGTAAACATGTATTGGGTGTTGGTAAACATGTACTGAGTAGTGCAGCTTTAGCCGACTGCAGTAGATGTGGACTTTATATATATTACTACCAAAAATGTGTAAAGTACTTGTGTAAATTGTTAAGAATGTTGGATGATCGTTACCAACTTATTAAGAAGATTCAGCAGGAAGGAAGAATGGGCATCCTGTGTAGGATTGTTGTTATACACGTATGTTTTCGGATATGCATGGGTTAGTCAAGATATTGGCGATATTTCATATTTTCTGTTGATGTTCAGACAGAGATTATAAGATTGTGGAAATCAAAATATTTTTAGTAATATCAATGATTCAAAACGACTTGTATATTATAAGAATATTAAGTCCTTGCAGACTGTTGAATATTATGTTACAAATATCAATGTTAGGGAATTAAAAAGATATATATGTTTGTTGAGATTGCATGAACTGCCATTGAGGAGATAAACAAACTGTGATTTCAATGTAGCACTAAATTGAATAAATTGCGCAGCATGAGGTTTCAAATGTTGAATTTAGCGTGGTTAAATCTACAGGTAATCTAGCTCTACATTGAAAACACAGTATGTTTATCTCCATTCTACCATGACTAAATAAAACACGAACTCTTTGGTGTTAGCAAATATACTGAGTGAAGCGGCATGGGCCGAGTCCAGTATTTTGAGTGGGTTATCGATCTGAATTACGGAATCAGCGAACAAAATATGGCGCTGTATATACTTAAGCAGTTTACATCGTAATACTTCACTTGAACCTATGACAGGCATTGATAGCATATAGGCACGGCAACTTGGTAAGCTGACATGAGATTGGCATCCCTAAAGAAAACAAAGCAAGTTTTGCAAGGCTTTCGTTCTATATTGCATGTCACCATTATGACTTCATATCGCTCATTGTGACGCAAAAGATATGACGTCACAGTCGTATATAGAAAAGCGCCAAATTCCAAGCTCTCTGTTGTCTCCAAAACGTAAATACATTCCCTTTGTAGATTTCTGTCGTGTTTTCTGCATGAAATGTATTGCCACACATCCTTTGAATAATATTAGTAAGCGCATCTGTGCATTTTGTAACCTGTAATTGTAGATATGATTATTAACATATGCCTACCGACAATGACTGAAAATAGTACTATTCTATGAATATTAGTTTCCCCGTGATGCGGCTGTCAAACCAGGTGTTTCAATCAGAGGGGGTTTATTGTGATTTAATAGCCACTGATTGACCAATCAGAATCAAGTAAATTTCAACTATCAGATGTAAAGAAGCCATAACTGTTAACCAAACTTGTAGGATGTGTAAAACTGACAGCACAGAAGATAGTTAGAGCACTTGAAGACAAGTATTCAAAGTTTTTATCAAGTCAGTAAGTACTGTATACACATGACATAAATAAACAGCACACTTACTGTATTATTGTTCAAGATCTCTTGCAAAGCTTTGGTGACCTCATTTGTATCTTTGATGTTTATGGTGTAAACATGAGGCTTCCCAATAAACATCTCAGCATACGGATGTTGGCTAGTTAGCTGAAAAAAATTCATTATTACATCCTTCATTCTTCAGTTAAATTAATTTAACATAAGGCATGAGCAGCAAAAGAGATTGAGAGAATGAGTTTCGCCGTAGATGAGAGCAGTATTTCAGATATGACACACAATTTCAGATTGTCATGAAAGCCCGAAGTGATGCACATCCAAGAGGTTGACCTGTCTGGTGAAACCCGCAACAATAGGTATTGGGCTTACAAAACAATGATCATAATCAGGGAAAAACTGGGATTCAAACTGACTATCATAGGATCATGGTACATCAAAGGGACACAACTCTGTGAATTGCAAAGCCTTAGAAAAATACCCCCACTACGGGTATTCAACAATGAGCTTCTGCGACAAACCACAGCCTTTCGACTTCATCCTACTCATCACTACATTTCCTATTTCTGTCAAAAGTCAGCATGCTATCCAATTATGCAAACTTAGCCTGTATGACACTTCACATGGATCTCACCAACAGCATGTCCAACTAATTGTACAACCAAAGTTGTTCTTAAGAACAAAAATAGTGTTCTATATCTGGCCAACTACACACACCTCTCGCTGAGTGGGTTTTCCCTTAAACACAGGGTCATTCTTGTTGCTGTGGGGTGGATCGAACCTGGCATTGAGGAACACTGCTCCATTAGCAATAGCTTCCAAGGGAGCAGGGCCTTCGTATGGGAAGCCCATGCCAATAAACACCTGCAACAAATACACACTTAAATAAGAGCCTTTATATCATCCTCTTAAATAAATTCATGCATAAAGAACAAAGTGAAGGATAACCTGATGAGGTAGGCCCCATCATGAGCACACAATGCCATAAACCATGCATATCATTCACCATATCATCGCTTCATTCACCCACACCTACCCAAGGGATCCCTTTCTAGTAAACTGTTGGTTACAAAAATCATATAGATACTCTCCATTTGCACCAGGGTCAGAATATAAGCAGCAGGTCACAGATGTCATCCTGACCTTGTCAGTGTAGCAGTTTGTGGAGGTATCCCCTAGATGACATCCTTACCTTGGCAGTGTAGCAGGGTGTGGAGTCATCCCCTAGATGTCATCCATACCTTGTCAGTGTAGCAGTTTGTGGAGGTATCCCCTAGATGACATCCTTACCTTGTCAGTGTAGCAGTTTGTGGAGGTATCCCCTAGATGACATCCTTACCTTGTCAGTGTAGCAGTTTGTGGAGGTATCCCCTAGATGACATCCTTACCTTGTCAGTGTAGCAGTTTGTGGAGGTATCCCACAGATGACATCTATACCTTGTCAGTGTAGCAGTTTGTGGAGGTATCCCATAGATGACATCTATACCTTGTCAGTGTAGCAGGGTGTGGAGTCATCCCATAGATGACATCTATACCTTGTCAGTGTAGCAGTTTGTGGAGGTATCCCCTAGATGTCATCCTGACCTTGTCAGTGTAGCAGTTTGTGGAGGTATCCCATAGATGACATCTATACCTTGTCAGTGTAGCAGTTTGTGGAGTCATCCCATAGATGACATCTATACCTTGTCAGTGTAGCAGTTTGTGGAGTCATCCCACAGATGGCATCCTTACCTTGTCAGTGTAGCAGTTTGTGGAGTCATCCCACAGATGACATCCTTACCTTGTCAGTGTAGCAGTTTGTGGAGTCATCCCACAGATGACATCCTTACCTTGTCAGTGTAGCAGTTTGTGGAGTCATCCCACAGATGACATCCTTACCTTGTCAGTGTAGCAGTTTGTGGAGTCATCCCACAGGTGACATCCTTACCTTGTCAGTGTAGCAGTTTGTGGAGGTATCCCACAGATGTCATCCTGACCTTGACAGTGTAGCAGTTTGTGGAGGCATCCCCTAGATATCATCTATACCTTGACAGTGTAGCAGATTGTGGAGTCATCCCCTAGATGTCATCTATACCTTGTCAGTGTAGCAGTTTGTGGAGGTATCCCCTAGATGACATCCATACCTTGTCAGTGTAGCAGTTTGTGGAGGTATCCCCTAGATGTCATCCTGACCTTGTCAGTGTAGCAGGTTGTGGAGGTATCCCCTAGATGTCATCCTGACCTTGTCAGTGTAGCAGGGTGTGGAGTCATCCCATAGATGACATCCATACCTTGTCAGTGTAGCAGGGTGTGGAGTCATCCCACAGATGACATCCATACCTTGTCAGTGTAGCAGGGTGTGGAGTCATCCAACAGATGTCATCCTTAACTTGTCAGTGTAGCAGTTTGTGGAGTCATCCCCTAGATGTCATCCTGACCTTGACAGTGTAGTAGGGTGTGGAGTCATCCCATAGATGTCATCCATACCTTGTCAGTGTAGCAGTTTGTGGAGTCATCCCACAGATGTCATCCTGACCTTGTCAGTGTAGCAGGCTGTGGAGTCATCCCACAGATGACATCATGACCTTGTCAGTGTAGCAGGGCGTGGAGTCATGCCACAGATGTGATCCTGACCTTGTCAGTGTAGAAGGCTGTGGAGTCAACCCCTCTAGATGTCATCCTGACCTTGTCAGTGTAGCAGGCTGTGGAGTCATCCCACGGAAGACATCCTTACCTTGTCAGTGTAGCAGGCTGTGGAGTCATCCCAAAGATGTCATCCTGACCTTGTCAGTGTAGCAGGCTGTGGAGTCATCCCACAGATGACATCCATACCTTGTCAGTGTAGCAGTTTGTGGAGGTATCCCACAGATGTCATCCTGACCTTGACAGTGTAGCAGTTTGTGGAGGTATCCCACAGATGTCATCCTGACCTTGACAGTGTAGCAGTTTGTGGAGTCATCCCACAGATGACATCCTTACCTTGTCAGTGTAGCAGGCTGTGGAGTTATCCCACAGATGACATCCTGACCTTGACAGTGTAGCAGGCTGTGGAGGTATCCCACAGATGTCATCCTGACCTTGACAGTGTAGCAGTTTGTGGAGGTATCCCACAGATGTCATCCTGACCTTGACAGTGTAGCAGTTTGTGGAGTCATCCCATAGATGACATCTATACCTTGTCAGTGTAGCAGTTTGTGGAGTCATCCCACAGATGGCATCCTTACCTTGTCAGTGTAGCAGTTTGTGGAGTCATCCCACAGATGACATCCTTACCTTGTCAGTGTAGCAGTTTGTGGAGTCATCCCACAGATGACATCCTTACCTTGTCAGTGTAGCAGTTTGTGGAGGTATCCCACAGATGACATCCTTACCTTGTCAGTGTACAGGCTGTGGAGTTATCCCATAGATGTCATCCTGACCTTGACAGTGTAGCAAGTCCCGCGCCCGGGGTTTGGGCTGTTAGGGCCACTACACATACATATATGCTAATAAAAAAATATTAATCTTGCCTTGTCTGACACTTGTTGCCATTACACACATGTATCCAAATTGAGCAAGCTCACCTTTGACTCTCTCAATAGCTTGTGCAGGTCTGCCCCATTGAGCAGACCATGGTTGACTACGTAGTCCGGGAGCTTGGCCTGCTTCTGATCATAATAGACTGTACCATGAATCTCCAGAAAATCCTTTATAACATTGAGGTAGCTGTCTTTTTTCTGAAAATGGTAAGTACAAACTTAAAGACAAAGTCCCACATTGATCAACAAGTCGCATACTTGACCAATGAAATGAGCATGTGTTACCTATCTTTATCACACAAGTTTTTCTTACACATTTAGAAGTGAAAATGTGGAAATATCAAACCTTTTATGGATAATAGCTTGTGATTGTTTGTAACAACATTTTAGTGCTACTTCTTGCCCCTACATTGAAGTATTAGAGTTAGGGTATGTGAGTTATGAAGGTATCCGTGAGTTGTCCTCAATATCTTATCAACTCTTACATGATAAGGCTCACAGCCAATGATAGAAATTTCTTATTATAATTTGGAAGCATGTTCTTTTGCTTTAGTATAAATTTAGTAAAATCTAAATATTTTTTACATTTGTATACTTATCCTGCATTACTCCGTATTGCATTTACTGCTGTCTTTGACAGAGAGACGAACTGTGTGAGATCCAGCTGCTGAAGAAAGTTGTCCCAACCAGCCCAGGAGGCAGCGCCCCCTCACAGTCGGCACGTGACCCGGAAGTCATGACGTCACACCAAAACTCATAACTGCTTTAAACATAACATCTGAAACTTCGTGGGGAGGTAGCGTAGCGAAAGGGAGGGCACTTAGACTTCGTAATGCAGGATAAGTATACAAATGTAAAAAATATTTAGATTTTACTAAATTTTTTAACTTATCCTGCATTACTCTGTATTGCATCTTTATCAGACGGCATGGCCGGTGGGCATACCTGCAGATGTGAACCATATTAAACCCTCGTCAAGGTCCGATGAATCCGCACCGCATACAAGTGATGACCGGAACATCTACGACCATTCCTGTCTTCAGGAAACAAGAGTCGATGCAAAAACGAAACGCCCGAATAGGTAACCGAAATACAATGAGGCGTGTAGCCAAAATATATAACTTACCGAAGAGCGAAAGCGAAACGCAGTAGAGCCCTCTAATCTGAGGCGACAAACACCAGAGAGTTCGACGGGCCCCGCTCGGGGAATCGAAGAATCAGCGGCGTCGACGGCAAAATCTACGACCAATCCCAAGAGCGAATGCGAAACGCAGGAGAGCCCTCTAGGCTGGAGGCAAGGAACACCGGTGAGGTCGACGGGCACCGCTCAGGTACCAGAGAAGCAGCGGCGTTGGCGTCGGCGCCGGTGTCCACATCTACTACCATTCCTGTCGTCAGGAAACGAGAGTTGATGCAAAAAGTAAAACCCGGATAGGTGACAGCAATAGAATGAGTCGGGTAACCCAAAACTAAAACTGACCTAAGAGCGAATGCGGAATGCAAGAGAGCCGTCTCGTCTGGGGTGATAAACACCAGAGAGGTCGACGGGCCCCGCTCAGGGTATCGGAGAATCAGTGGCGTTGGAGATAGATGACCTGTTGGGCTACAACCAGGGACCAAAACTGTGAACGCCGGCGACAACTTTCAAGGCTACCTCACGGAAGTAGTGGTTGGTGAAGGCGGTGTCCGATCGCCACGAACAGGCTTCCCTGAACGACGGGATGGAACAGTATACCGTGAAGAACCAGTGTAAATACGATCGCCCTGATCTCATTTTATTTCAGGTGATAGCCTTTGGGAGGAGGGTCCAATCCGGCGGCTCATAAGCTTTAAGGATGAACGCCCGGAGCCACAGGCTGACCAACGACTGCGACGAAGGGGAGACCGGCAGAAAAAGGTGTTTCCTAGACTTGCGGCAGTCTTTAGATCGTAGAATAACCTTCAGTGCCCTTACTGGGCATAATGACGCTCATCCTCATCCTCGGCACCCACACTGGACGAGGGGGGAGGGGACAAGGAATGATCTATCAGGCTGTCCTGGGAGTTGAGTCTTTACGCTGACGTCCCAGTACGGTCCATGATGAACGGCGCCCTGGGTACCGCATTCGAACCGGGCACGGGAGACGGCGAGGGCGTGCTGTACATGGACTCGAGCGGCAGTAGTCAAAACCAGTGGAAACACCCGCCTTCTACTTAAGGTCGTAGAAGGAAGACGAGGGGAGTGGTTCGAAGGGCGTTGAAGACCACATTCAGATCCAACGCAGGCGGTCCGAACTTGGCCTTCAGGTCTTCAAGACTGACAAGTGCAGCCAGGCCCGTAGGTCGGGAATTTTCGTCTTTCTCCGATTGTCCGGGATGGCCAGAACGGAGTAGATGGCGACCAGGTATGTGGGGGTGGTAAGCTACGCAAGTACAGAAGGAACTGATCCAGGATCTGCGGTGACGCTGTCATCGGATCCTGGTGTTTGTCAGAACAAAATGCCTGGAACAACCTTGATTTATCAGTCCCCCTGTAGATGGACGGTGGGCTGAAGCAATAGCCTTGGTCGCTCTAGCCGAATAGCCCTTGGCTTTCTGCAGGTGTGTCAGGCGTGCAGACGATAACATGCGGGTATGAGGGTGTGGCAACAGACCGTGTGGATGGAACAGAAGGTTGGACCACACCGGAAATTCCAGGGGTTGTCTCTGGCTATGTTTCGGAGGTCGATAACCCAACTTCTGGCTGACCAATAAGGCGAGACCAAAGTCAATGGCAGGGGTCGAGTGGCCTGGATCTCTGAAGAACCGTGGGAGGGAGAACCGGAGTCGGAAAAGCGTGCGCGCGTAATCCTTCTCAGGAACGATGGAAGGCTTCGACTGCCACAGCGGTCATATCCGGCACATGTGGAATGGAAGACGACAGCTGGCCACATTCAGATATGAGGCAAACAGATCTAGGGTTGGGGTGTCGACCGTTTGACATAGTCTGGCCCGAGGCGCTGGAGAGCGTGAGGCATCGGAGAGCTTGAGGCGCCTGGAACGCCGAAGATGGTGATTCTCGGGGGCGCCGGTCGAGTTTGTAGCGCCGGAGAGGGGCCAGTACTCTGGGTCCGCAAACACCACACTACGGTGACGTCGTCAGTGGACACAATCAACAGGGCGTGACCAAGAATGCACTCTTAGCAAGTGACGTCCTGGATAAGCCTTTATCTCGAGGCTGTTGCTGTGCCAATGGTGTTGATCTCTGGATCACAGGTGGTCACAATGTGGGCTGGTGTGGGCCACTAGCCACTGACAAGGTGGCAGGGGATGTAGTCAGCAACAGGGGTCTGCGATTGCGTACCGTCGGTACGATTCGGAAAAAGGTGTGATCGCCTGCGAGCCAACCTCAAGTAGATAAAGTGAACCAGCTTCACAATCGACCGCCGGGGCCTCGACGTAACCGGGTAGTAGGAAGTCGAGGCAATATGGCCATTGCACGAAGTAATGAGATCGTTTTCATCCCTGAAGCGGCGTATAAGTACCCCTGTTCTTATATCGAGGTGACGATGGAGGACGACAACACGATACGAGGCAGGTATGCAACAGGGGTCAGTGGGATGGCCGAGGGACTTTAAGTATCAAATCAACACTGTGTCCGGTAGTCAAGGCGGAAGATAGGAAGGTGTCGTAGTCGAAAAGATCAAACCAGGCGAAGGAAGGCGATCTTTTCCATCCCTTGAACGCCTATAGGCGCTATCGTTCTTATAGCGAAGGGTTGATGAAACAAGGTTCCTCGTGACAGCCGTGTTGGTAGAGGAGGTCTATTGTTTCCAACATCCGTGCATGGATGGACTGCGACAGGCGCCTGGTTGAGTGGTAGCACCAAGCGTACAGGTAGACATGGAAACCAATCTGTAGAAATACATGGCACCCCTTGCCATGGTAAGTTGACCTAATTCCGGTCGGAGTTGTTGACAGTCCGAGTACTTGACACGTGACATGTAAATCACTCTGCGCAGTAGCCGAGAAAACCACCTTGGAGAGGGAACTGAGGTGCAAACTCCACACACAGACAATCCTCAATGAACTGTGTGAGAGACGATCAAGTGGTGTACCCGAGTTTTGCGATAAAACACGGAACCCCATGGGCGTCATGGAAAACCCGGGGAGCGCCGAGGAAGAGTCTCTTTCAGAAACGCTGGCGCTAGGGTAGGGTAGAACAGCGTTGGTGTCGGCGATGTCGACGAAGTAAACTCTTTGTAAGTGGATGTCGTCGTCGAATCTGATACAGACGCTGTTCACATGACGCTCTGTTTCGATGGAAACCCGCAGGTCATCTCTCCGGAATCATAGCGTTTTAAACGACAGGATTATGGATAACGTCTCAATGGGCAAGTTGAATCAGACCAACTGTCTATATTTTGAAAAGATTCCACCCAGGAAGTAGAATGATAGTCACGATCCCGAAGACCGACGGGAGAGTAGCGACAGGAGCGGCGACAGTTGTTTCACCATGCTTCTCCGTGTGACGAGTTATGAGACGGCAGCAAGAGAAGAGGGCAGTGGCGCTGGGGAGCACCGGGAGCGCCAGAGGCGCGGAGACATCAGAGGCGCCGTGAGCGCCGTGAGCGCCGTGAGCGCCGGAGCGCGGAGACATCAGAGGCCCGGGACATCGGAGGTGCCGGAGGCGCCGAGACCTCAGAGGCACCGGGAGGATGGGGAGGCGCCGGAGCGCGGAGACATCAGAGGCGCCGGGAGCGCCGAGACATCAGAGGCGCCGGAGACATCAGCGTTGACGGTGTTGGAGATGGAGACCGTGAACGGTCGTATGTTGTGCCAGGGGAGGCAGACTCTACGTTGGGAGCGCTGGAGCCGCCGGTGGAGTAGGAGACCGTGAACGGTCGTATGTCGTGCCATGGGAGGCAGACTCTACGTTGGGAGCGCTGGAGCCGCCGGTGGAGTAGGAGACCGTGAACGGTCGTATGTCGTGCCATGGGAGGCAGACTCTATGCGAAGCTCCGCTGAGCGCTGCTGCCGTCAACGTAGGTGGGGGTCGACGAGCACGTTGAGCGAGGTGTGTCCTGGATACTCGCATGAGCTGAAGGATCACAGCGACGAATGACTGCAACATCGGCACTGCCTTGTGAAAGTACAGGGCGTCGTACAATCACGGCAGAAAGGGGTGGCCCCGACCAGGTTTGTTCCCGCAGCAACAAGTGCAGCGAGGCAGAAAATCTGGAATTTAAGCAAAACATAACTATGTGGCAAAGCCACAAAGTGCGGGAAGCATAATGTGATTCAGAAACTTTGTATTTCAATGAAGTTTATGAGATCAAACAATGATGCTAAAAGGTAGCGAAAAAGCATAGCTTTAAGCAAACACATAACCATGTGGCCAATCACAAAGTATGGGAAGCATAATGTGATTCAGAAACTTTGTATTTCAATGAAGTTTATGAGATCAAACAATGACGCTAAAAGGTAGCGAAAAAGCATAGCTTTAAGCAAACACATAACCATGTGGCCAATCACAAAGTATGGGAAGCATAATGTGATTCAGAAACTTTGTATTTCAATGAAGTTTATGAGATCAAACAATGATGCTAAAAGGTAGCGAAAAAGCATAGCTTTAAGCAAACACATAACCATGTGGCCAATCACAAAGTATGGGAGACATAATGTAACTCAAAAACTTCGTATTATATTGAAGTTTATGAGAAGAAACAATTACGCTGAGAGGTAGCGAAAAGGCAAGGCTTTAAGCACACCAAAACAACATACATAAATGTAATGTATTACCCAAGCCAAAGAGAGAATTCAAAACGCAGAACACGACATTACGTGGCCACGTGGTGAATGGCCAAAATGGCGGGAAAGAAAACAAATGGCGGGAACAACATTGCGCCCGTAAATTACTGTGACGTGAGCCACAGACGAGCGATAAACGTTACAATTTACGAATGGGAAGACCCTAAGGTCACGGCCCATAACAGGTAACAATGTAGCAGCATATAATGAATGTAGAAACACGCAAAATATAAAAAACAAATAATAAGCTTTAATTTCCACAAGGGATACAAAGTATGTCCGTCCGTGGAGGTAACAAAGCAGTTATGTGTTTTGGTGTGACGTCATGACTTCCGGGTCACGTGCCGACTGTGAGAGGGCGCTGCCTCCTGGGCTGGTTGGGACAACTTTCTTCAGCAGCTGGATCTCACACAGTTTGTCTCTCTGTCAAAGACAGCAGTAAATGCAATACGGAGTAATGCAGGATAAGTTAAAAAAAATGATGTATCTCATTTACAGTTAGACTACCTGAAATTTCTTAACACTGTAGGTGTATTCTACCATGACAGTGAGGAAGCTTTCAGAATGCGTAATGGGCGATCTTTTTGTTCCAAAGGGCAATAACTCTCCTTTTGAAATGATATGGTCCAATCTGTCGCTTCTGGTCTGGTTCTCTGATCAATGTGTGCTGCGACAACTAGTAACATGTAGAGACGGAGCCAAGCTAACAGGTTACCCTGTTGCACCTTCATTCAAAAACGCTCGTTTACAACTGAATATGTTTAACTAGCACATATTTTGTCGTGATTATTAGTTTAATATATCAACATTTGTTGAGTCTTCAACTAAAAGACGAATTGTCACGATGGAAGATAGCTGGGAAATCGCCATGAAAAACGGTATATTGCCACGGTATTTTCAAAGCTAGAAAACGTGGAGGCATTCTGTCAGTCTGGACTAATATATCACATCAATGAAATAATGCAAACTCATTTTATTTATCATGTTTATCAGCCTTTTTGTTACTTCCCATGACAATTCCAACCATTCAATCTTAACAAACAGTTCTCATACTACCATGGACTTTAGTGTAATAAAATTGGAGATATGCCTACATTTGCAGCAGACAGACATCTTTGACAGGCCTTTACCACTGAAGAAAAAAATAATTGAAGAAGAAATAAGGTTCAGAATAACACAACTGATTTTAAATGTTACTTTTACCGGTATATCAAAAAGTTACAGATTTATATTTTTTTTAGAAAATAAATATGCCAAATGAAAATCTACCATGCACCTATCAAGCAATCAGTTGCTCAGTTGCACTATACATACCAGTCATCATACCTTGAAGTAAGAGATTTACCCATATTATTCTGCTCCTTACATAATGCGTCCCACCATTAAGTGCTCGGAGTCATCACAGGTGTTGATTTATTGATCCATCATTTCTTACAGAATTCTGATACTCATGCTCTCAAAATAGTGGTAAATAACAGAGATCTGTCCAAACAAACAACCAATCAAACTGACTCCCCCACAAGATGTGTTTGATACATGAAAAGATAGTTGTATCTTCTTGTTTTAGTAACAATATTTATTATCATGTTGAAAAGTTATTTCCCTTACAACTCATACACTATCCTGCTGCAGCTATGGATCCTGATTTTCATTCAACAGTACTTCAAGACACCTGTAGGATTAAGTCTATTTATTAGATGTTATCAAATATGATTTTAGAAAGTTTATTATCAAATATTTTGATGACATTGGCAAAGCAAACTGGATGTAGACACTGCAATGTGAATACAATCATTATTATAGAGATTGAAAGTTGGCATGAATATATTGTTCTCATTTACAAGATACAAATTGTAGCTGTATATGTATTTAAACTTATATGTAGTGTCTTCTGTGTCTGAAAAAAATATAATTTTCTAACTGTTAAAATTAAAAAAAGGACACAATAACATATACCATTTATTTATTATATTGAAATATAATCATGGTAGTATTTGTCAAAAACAGCCACTATTCATCCATACAATCCTTTTGTACAACATACACCAACCTCTGTCCCAACTTGTATGTCTCCAAGATGAGCACACAACAAAAGTCAAAGTGTGCCCCTGGTACATGGTTGTAATAAGAAACACTATTGTGTGTACTGTCATGTCTGTAGTCAGGACATTGTTATTATTTCTTGCTTTACAGAAATGTGTGAAAAGTCCTGGTGAGAAGGTTCACATCTTATTTTCTGTTGTTTAAAAATGTATCTGACTAAATTACTACGTGTGCCCTGTTCATCAGCAGGTCTTAGAATGGTCTTACTCTTTAACATATTCAACACACATAGAATATCTTGACAACACCTTTTCATTTGATGTAAATGAAATAGGGCTTTTGAGATGCATTTTCCCACTATTCACTTTTATAGTGTATTGCCTTGAGCCAGAAGTTATTGTGTTGAGTGTGAATACAGTGGTGTTGACATACCTCCCACATGTACTCCTTCTTGCCGTACACTACAGCCTTGTTCTGCCTCTCTAGATGCTGCACGTGGGAGTCGTTGAGGTGCTGTTCAACCACAAAGCCCATGAAGGAGTTGTCGGGGCTGTGAGCTGCAGAACAACAACACATCTGCTTACAAAGGATGAGGAGAGACAGTGAGTGAGTGACTAAATCCTTTGCTAAAACCAGGACACAGCTGCAACACAGAAGACTGGGAAATACAAGCAGTTCTGAAGCAGGTACAGCGGCAGCCAGCTGATACCCTGGTGCCATGCACACTGCAATATGTGGAGAAGGGAACTTGATGTTTTGGACGAATCAGGAAAGCTATTATGACACATGTTCAACATTGAAACAGCCGATGGCTACATGGGAACAATTCAGGTTACCTCTGTGACAACACAGTACCATTCAGGTACCCTCTGTGACAACACAGTACCCTCTGTGACAACACAGTACCATTCAGGTACCCTCTGTGACAACACAGTACCATTCAGGTACCCTCTGTAAGAACACAGTACCATTCAGGCACCCTCTGTGACAACACAGTACCCTCTGTGACAACACTGTACCCTCTGTGACAACACAGTACCATTCAGGTACCCTCTGTGAGAACACAGTATCATTCAGGTACCCTCTGTGTGAACACAGTATCATTCAGGTACCCTCTGTGTCAACACAGTATCATTCAGGTACCCTCTGTGTCAACACAGTACCATTCAGGTACCCTCTGTGACAACACAGTACCATTCAGGTACCCTGTGTGACAACACAGTACCATTCAGGTACCCTCTGTGACAACACAGTACCATTCAGGTACCCTCTGTGACAACACAGTACCATTCAGGTTACCTCTGTGACAACACAGTTCTATTCAGGTACCCTCTGTGACAACACAGTACCATTCAGGTACCCTCTGTGTGAACACAGTATCATTCAGGTACCCTCTGTGTCAACACAGTATCATTCAGGTACCCTCTGTGTCAACACAGTACCATTCAGGTACCCTCTGTGACAACACAGTACCATTCAGGTACCCTGTGTGACAACACAGTACCATTCAGGTACCCTCTGTGACAACACAGTACCATTCAGGTACCCTCTGTGACAACACAGTTCTATTCAGGCACCCTCTGTGAGAACACAGTACCATTCAGGTACCCTCTGTGACAACACAGTACCCTCTGTGACAACACAGTACCCTCTGTGACAACACAGTACCATTCAGGTACCCTCTGTGACAACACAGTACCATTCAGGTACCCTCTGTGTCAACACAGTACCATTCAGGTACCCTCTGTGACAACACAGTACCCTCTGTGACAACACAGTACCATTCAGGTACCCTCTGTGACAACACAGTACCATTCAGGTACTATCTGTGACAACACAGTATCATTCAGGTACCCTCTGTGACAACACAGTTCTATTCAGGTACCCTCTGTGACAACACAGTATCATTCAGGTACCCTCTGTGTCAACACAGTACCATTCAGGTACCCTCTGTGAGAACACAGTACCATTCAGGTACCCTCTGTGTCAACACAGTATCATTCAGGTACCCTCTGTGACAACACAGTACCCTCTGTGACAACACAGTACCATTCAGGTACCCTCTGTGTCAACACAGTATCATTCAGGTACCCTCTGTGTCAACACAGTACCATTCAGGTACCCTCTGTGTCAACACAGTACCATTCAGGTACCCTCTGTGACAACACAGTACCCTCTGTGACAACACAGTACCATTCAGGTACCCTCTTTGTCAACACAGTACCATTCAGGTTCCCTCTGTGACAACACAGTACCATTCAGGTACCCTCTGTGTCAACACAATACCATTCAGGTACCCTCTGTGACAACACAGTACCCTCTGTGACAACACAGTATCATTCAGGTACCCTCTGTGTCAACACAGTATCATTCAGGTACCCTCTGTGTCAACACAGTACCATTCAGGTACCCTCTGTGTCAACACAGTACCATTCAGGTACCCTCTGTGTCAACACAGTACCATTCAGGTACCCTCTGTGTCAACACAGTACCATTCAGGTACCCTCTGTGACAACACAGTACCCTCTGTGACAACACAGTACCATTCAGGTTCCCTCTGTGACAACACAGTATCATTCAGGTACCCTCTGTGTCAACACAGTATCATTCAGGTACCCTCTGTGTCAACACAGTACCATTCAGGTACCCTCTGTGTCAACACAGTACCATTCAGGTTACCTCTGTGACAACACAGTACCATTCAGGTACCCTCTGTGTCAACACAGTATCATTCAGGCACCCTCTGTGACAACACAGTACCATTCAGGTTCCCTCTGTGACAACACAGTACCATTCAGGTACCCTCTGTGACAACACAGTACCCTCTGTGACAACACAGTACCATTCAGGTTCCCTCTGTGACAACACAGTATCATTCAGGTACCCTCTGTGTCAACACAGTATCATTGAGGCACCCTCTGTGACAACACAGTACCATTCAGGTTCCCTCTGTGACAACACAGTATCATTCAGGTACCCTCTGTGTCAACACAGTATCATTCAGGTACCCTCTGTGTCAACACAGTACCATTCAGGTACCCTCTGTGACAACACAGTACCAATCAGGTACCCTCTGTGTCAACACAGTATCATTCAGGTACCCTCTGTGACAACACAGTATCATTCAGGTACCCTCTGTGTCAACACAGTACCATTCAGGTACCCTCTGTGACAACACAGTATCATTCAGGTACCCTCTGTGTCAACACAGTATCATTCAGGTACCCTCTGTGACAACACAGTATCATTCAGGTACCCTCTGTGTCAACACAGTATCATTCAGGTACCCTCTGTAACAACACAGTATCATTCAGGTACCCTCTGTGTCAACACAGTACCATTCAGGTACCCTCTGTGTCAACACAGTACCAATCAGGTACCCTCTGTGTCAACACAGTACCAATCAGGTACCCTCTGTGTCAACACAGTACCAATCAGGTACCCTCTTTGTCAACACAGTACCATTCAGGTACCCTCTGTGACAACACAGTACCCTCTGTGTCAACACAGTACCAATCAGGTACCCTCTTTGTCAACACAGTACCAATCAGGTACCCTCTGTGTCAACACAGTACCATTCAGGTACCCTCTGTGTCAACGGGTTACCACTGAAATTCCCATGTACCCTGGAACAGTCACTGATACTTACGGAACATGGTGAAGAACTGCCGAGGCTGCAAGTCTTGGCCTCCCCATGAGGTGAGAATCTTGTTTTGTTTGGCGAAACTACGATGGTTGTAGGCAGGTTCAGTGCCAAACGAATCAACAATCCGGAATAGACAACTGAAAGAGAATGAAATCATGTCATCTTCAATGTCTCGGACCATATCTTGAAGATCGACTGTTACAAGATAGGGTGCTAGCAGCATAAACCATGGATTTGGGTTGTATTTTCAAACAAACACTAAAGTAGAAGGTACGTTCATGTACTGAATGTATAAGAAGTTTCAGTCAATTATATAATATGAAATCATAATTATTTTTACAAAATCATTATGACTGATTATAGCCCCAAATAATCCAAACCCTTATGACCATTACCATAAATGCCATGTGTTATTCTGCACAGCACATATCTGCATAGCAAATTTCATAATGATACATACTGATTCAAAAACCCATTTGAGTAGCAGATGTGAAAAAAAGACAGTAAATCTTGACAAATTGGGGTATGAGAAGGTAAAAGGATACAGAAAATCTAGAAACATATCATGTCTTAATTCAAATGTCATAATTTTGCACATGAATACAAAGTTCTCACAACATATTCACACTATACATTTCAATAGTAACAAGGCAAAAAGTGTGCAGGGCTCACTAATAATCAAAGTTCAAAACATGAAAATGCAATATTTTCTAAAAAAAAACACCTATCGACATCAAACTGTGCACTGCACCTCTATTGGTACAGAAACTTTACCCCCAGTTGGAAAAGAATCCATAAAGTAGCTTTCAAGTCATAGGTTGCACAAATGTTGAAGTAAAAAACATATTTCAAGTTAAACAAATATATTTATTCAGAATATGCACATATCAAAATCAAAAATTCGCACTCACTTCTCCTATTAGTAAAGAAAGTCACACAAAAATTCTAAGTGAAAACAAATAAAATTCAATCTCATTAAAATCAGACCTTAGTTCTTACTACCACTAAACAAAGATCTGAGGACATCCCAGTTGAGGTCACATCAGAACAACCTTTCATACGACCAATCAGAGCGTCGCTTGCCAGATCATGAAAGTGACAGTTGGAATGTGATTTCTAATCATGCATCCTCGAAAACTTTAACACGGGGTATTCCGAACGACAGTTAAGGGTTTAATGACTGAATCCATACAATCTAGACCTTCTATTAGCCATTCTAAAATGTTCTTTTGTTCAGGTTTCAAATTTTTAATTGAGAATTTGTCAAAATATGTTTCGAAGCACTGTCACCAATTTGAAAATAGTGATGCAAAGCACAAGAAAGCTGCCTTCTGACTGGTCATTCCATTGGTTGGTCAAAGTTCGTGCAAGGTCGGTCTGACGAGACCCGTAATGGGATGTCCTCAGATCTTTGTTTGGGGGTAGCGAGAACAAAGATCTGATTTAAATGAGATTGAATAAAAATAGCCCTATTTTTTCTGAAAATCTAAATATTGACATCAAACTTTTCACTGCACCCCTTGATATAGAAAGTGTTCACCAAGTTTGAAATGAATCTATGCAGTAGTTTTCAAGATATAGGTCACACTCAAAACTGTCCTCGGAAGGACGAACGGATGGAATTCCTTGGTATACGATGTACCCCCCCCCCACCTTTTAGGTTGGGTATGACAAGGTTGTATCTGGTCAGTACCAATGTACCTGCAGCAGATGTCGAAGTATAGCAGATATTTAACAATCTCATTCATGTCACAGTATTTCTGCAACTGCAGAAAGATTTGCGGTTACCAGTTAACCACAGTAAATATTACAAAAGGCATATTGTCTAAATTCTGTCTCTGATTTGTATCATAACCTCACCTGACAAATTAGGTGGTTCAAAATTATAATTGTTAACAACGAGGTTGTTCAAGGAAAGAAGTAATATCTAAATATTTTTACATTTGTATACCTCCATGTTGATAAATAGATTCATTTTTTAACTTATCCTGCATTACTCCGTTTGCATTTACTGCTGTCTTTTAACAGAGAGACGAACTGTGTGAGATCCAGCTGCTGAAGAAAAGTTGTTCCAACACACTCGCACAGTCCTGGAAGTCATGACGTCACATCAAAACACATAACTGCTTTAAACATAACATCTGAAACTTTGTGGGGAGGCAGCATAGCGAAGGGAGGGCACTTAGACCTTGTAATGCAGTATAAGTATACAAATGTAAAAAATATTTAGATTTTACTAATTTTTTTAACCTATCCTGCATTACTCGGCTACTGTTATTCAGTAGCCAATCAACAGAGAGTAGAATCAAAACAAAGTTCATTGGACCTGTCACTCAAGGCCAGAAGCGAGAAGAACTGCAACAGTCAGTCTGTTACGAACTGGAACAAATATGTCCGGGAGAAGGCGGTTGTTTCAAATGACATGGTCAGTAGATTCGAACATTAATTCCCTGAGAACGGGAAGACAGTTGGAAAAATACTAGTTAGAAATGAAACCTGAAGACATGAAAGTTGTGGAACTGAGGCGAGCTGGGAAAAAAAAAAGTCAATCGAGCCTGCATGTTTGCTGTTTCATTCCTTCTCGGCCTTCGGTTTCAAAGGGTTGTTTGGACAATGAATATGCATGAATTTCGCTTAATGCCTTGTGCATGATGATACACATCATCAGAAAGGGAATTCCCTCGACTGTAATATTGGGATTTCCCAACATTCCATAGGTATAAAAGTAGTCCGCTTCGGTGGGCGTGGCTTAATGTTTTACATTCATTGGGAAATGAATGCAAAAACATGTGACCAGTCCAGCTTATCAGAATGCAGGAATTTCAAAGAACACTAGGAAAATTTAATTATTCCATAACAAACCCTCGTCAAGCTCCGATGCTCCTCATACAAGTGATGGCCGGACTTAGCCGGAAGTCGAAGAAATGTCCATAAGATAAGGAGGAACTGTGGTTCGGATAGATCGCACCGTACTGCACGAGGTAATGTGAACACTTCCATCCCCTGAGTGTCGTATAAGCATTCCAGTTTTTATATCGAGGTGACGATGAAGGAAGACAACACGATACTCGGCATGTAGTCAACAGGGGTCAATGGAACAGTTGTGGGAAGAATTAGAAAATCGACACTGTATCTGGTCGCCAAGGCTGAAAATATAAAAGTGTCTGAGAGATCAAAACGTACAAAGTATGGCGATCTTTTCCATCCCTTGCTTATAGCGAGAGGGTGATTAAACATGGTGCCTCCGTTGATAGTGGAGGTCTACCGTTTCCATCCTCTGTACATGGATGGACAGCGACAGGCATCTGGTTGAGTTGTTGCACCATACCTACATGTAAGCATGCAAACCAATCCGTAGAAATACATTGCACTGCTCCCCACAGGTCTGTTGACCCAATTCCGGTCGGAGTTGTTGACAGTCGTGACATGAAAATGACCCTGCGCAGTAGCTGAGAAAACCGCATTGGAGCCAGAAATGAGGTGCAATCTCCACACACTGGATGAACTGTGTGGTAGACATACAAGTGGTGTACCAAAGTTTTGCGAAGAAAACGTGGGAGCACCATCGAAAACCAGGGGAGTGCCGAGGAAGAGCCTTTTTGAGGAAAGCTGGCGCTAAGGCAGGGTACAGGAGCATTGGTGCCGGTGACGTCGACGAAAAAGGCGCAGAGCGATATGATACACCGTAATATGCGAGACCAGTCAACCATGATCCCGAGAAGTGGGTACCCGGTAACCTATGACGAAAGTGTCAAACAGGCCAAATAAGCCTGAACAGTGAAGATCTGCCAGTTCTGACACAGATGCTGTCCACCAGAGGCCCTGTTTCGATGGAAAACTAGCACGTATCGGCCAAGCGGCTCGTAGAAGGCTTTGAAGAAAAGGCTTCCAACGAACATGTGAGCTCCTTCAGCCTTATCAAAGGAGTGAACCTGCAGGTCATCTCTCCTAGCACATGGCGCTTTAAATGACGGGTTAAGGAGAACGTCCCAAAACAAAACCTCGTCCAGACAACCAGTGGGCAAGTTGAATCAGACCAAATGTCTACTGGTTGAAAAGATTCCTCCCAACAATAGTCACAATCCCAACAGCGTACGGGAGAGCAGTGACAGGAGCGGCGACAAATGAAACAAGTGGTTTTACCTTGCTTCTCCGTCAGGAAACTTGGCCGAGATACTCAGGTGACGGTAGCACCAGAAAGCTTGGCCGAGATACTCAGGTGCCGGGAGCGCCGGGAGTGCCGGTAGCACCAGAAAGCTTGGCCGAGATACTCAGGTGCCAGGAGCGCTGGGAGTACCGGTAGCACCAGAAAGCTTGGCCGAGATACTCAGATGCCGGGAGCGCCGGCGGTAGCACCAGAAAGCTTGGCCGAGATACTCAGGTGCCGGTAGCTCCAGAAAGCTTGGCCGAGATACTCAGGTGCCGGTAGCACCAGAAAGCTTGGCCGAGATACTCAGGTGCCGGGGGCGCCGAGAGTGCCGGTAGCACCAGAAAGCTTGGCCGAGATACTCAGGTGCCGGGAGTGCCGGTAGCACCAGAAAGCTTGGCCGAGATACTCAGGTGCCGGTAGCTCCAGAAAGCTTGGCCGAGATACTCAGGTGCCGGTAGCACCAGAAAGCTTGGCCGAGATACTCAGGTGCCGGGAGCACCAGAAAGCTTGGCCGAGATACTCAGGTGCCGGGAGTGCCGGTAGCACCAGAAAGCTTGGCCGAGATACTCAGATGCCGGGAGCGCCGAGAGAGCCGGTAGCACCAGAAAGCTTGGCCGAGATACTCAGATGCTGGGAGCGCCGGGAGCGCCGGCGGTAGCACCAGAAAGCTTGGCCGAGATACTCAGGCGCCAGGAAGCTCGACTGAGATACTCAGGCACTGGGAGCGCTGGTTGTATTGGTTCTCGGGAGCGCCGGTGGTGTCAGGAGCATCAACGACGCCACTGCTGCTGACATAGATGGCGCAGGAGATGGAAGGCCAGTCCCCTTATGGGCATCACCGAAGGGGGATGATGTCGTTGATAAAGGTGATGGCAAGGGAGGTGTAGAAAGACCGCAGTCTCCGAGTTGTAGCCATATGTCGACGAGCACGTTGAGTGAGGTGTGTCCTGGATACTCGTATTGAGTTGAAAGAGCACAGCGACGAAGGACTGCAACATCAGCACTGCCAATCAAGGCAGAAGGGGCAGTCCCCGACCAGATTTGTTCCCACGGCAACAAGTGTGGCGAGGCATTAAATCTGGAATTTAATCAAAAACATAACCATGTGGCAAAACCACAAAGTACGGGAAGCATGATGTTACTCAAAAACTTTGTATTTTATTGAAGTTTATGAGAGCAAACAATTATGTTAAAAGGTAGGGAAAAGGCAGAGCTTTAAGCACGCCTAAACAAAATAAATATATTGAGTGTAAAGCCAAAGAAAGAATTCAAAGCGCAGAACACAAAATTACATGGCCACGTGGTGAATGGCAAAAATGATGGGAAAAAAACAAAATGGCGGGAACAACAGTACGTCCGTAAATTACTGTGACTGGGGCCACAAACAAGCGACAAATGTTTCAAATTACGAAAGGGAAGATGCTAAGGTTAACAGCCCATAAACAGGTAACAATGTAGCAGCATACGATGAATGTAGAAACACGCAAAGTATAGAAACAATATGCTTTAATTTCCACAAGGGATACAAAGTACTTCTGTCCGTGGAGGTGACAAAGCAGTTATGTGTTTTGATGGGACATCATGACTTCTGGTCACGTGCCGACTGTGCGAGAGAGTTGCTGCCTCTACTGGTTGGAACAACTTTTCTTCAGCAGCTGGATCTCACACAATTCATCTCTCTGTCAAAAGACAGCAGTAAATACAATACGGAGTAATGCAGGCTAAGTTAAAAAATGAATCTATTTATCAACAATATTACCATAATAGCGTGTGGGTACATTCCAAATTGTACTCAAGTCATGATCATTCTCTATTTGTTCTGAAATATAGTTTTTCTTAGGATTGATCATGTAAGTATTTTTATTTGCTAAAAACCATTGGTCTTACCAAAGACATCCAATATGGACATTGAACATGTCATGAAATGAGGTAGTGTGTTTTGCTACCAACCAGTCTCCCCTACCTGAACTTGCCATAGCCCCCCTTGACCCGCTTCTTGAACTGGATGAGGCCCATGATGTCCGTGTAGATGATGTTGACCGGTAACTCCTTCCGACTCTGACACGGTGACTTGGCTGCCGGAAGTCGAGACAGGATCCTGCCAACAGACATGCAGTGTGAGAAGCAGACAGCGGTAGGTAGCAGCTGTAAGTCCAGTTGTAGAGGACATGGACCTGTGAGGTCAGTTGTTTACCAACACAGCTTGTCAGGGTCCCCACAACCTGCCACAACTTGAGTTGACAAGTTGTCTTGGCTTACACAACACTACCCAGTATACACTAAGTAGAACAAACTACTGCATGCAAAATTTCTTCTTGATGGTGGCACTCTGGTAGAGAAATCATGTAGATACTAAACTGTAACACTGTGAATTTGTTGCAGAGTTATTTTGGATTAAGTTACTGAAAATCAATTTCTTTAGAATATAAGAAAAAACATGAAAATTATCAACCGACATATATGTAATTAATCGAAGTTGGACATTACCATGATTACCAAAAAGGCATTACTTCACAAAGCATCCTCAGTCACACAAACATCATGATAAATTCATTGTAGGATTATGAGTTTTCAAAAAATAGCACCTAGCAGTAAATTGTTGACCTGCTGCCACACACAAGAAGAAGCAACAGCATGAGAATATACAGCTCCAAGAATCTAGAGGAGTCCTTATCAGCATGATCTGAGCTTGATACACCGAACATGAACTCCCCTGATCTTTACACTGTCTAGGAACAGTCAAACCGCGCTTATCCTGACACTTGCGTTTCTCAAATATTGTCTAGTTAAATGAGTTTCCAGATACGTGAATCCCTTGTTAATGGACCAGAATTACCTCTCCTACTCAAACTGTACAGAGGCTTATGTGAAATGAATGGCAGAAGTATGATTTAGGAAGGATTAAATGCTTAATAAATAAAATACATTGAGCTGTACAGACCAACACATCATACTGTGACAACACTGTTTATTATTGAAACAGCTAATGTTGGAAGAAATGCATGTTAAGCCTAGTTTAGATGATACACTTGTTTTGTATACAGTTGTGCAACACATAAACATTGATTATAGCCATGTTTATCTCCACGGGATGAAAGCCAAGGCTGAACTCATGCATGTATGAAAAATGTAATCTAGAAATATTTTATGCACACTTGAACTTTCTGAGGTTGAAATCCTCTTTATGCAGCATTTGTGATGGTGAAAGCTTGGGATGAAATCGGTGTCATAAACTGATAACATGATGGTGAATGAGAGAACTGAAATGAACAATGAGAGAGACACAGGGAGGGGGACAGATGTTTTTCTCAACATCACGAGTGTGTAAGCATTTTATCCACTTTTTGACAATTACAAGTTGGTTCCTCTGTTAGTGAGGTGTACTCTAGCACAGGCAGCGTAATCTCTTGTTAAGCACCATGACAACACCACTTGCATATATTCCGATCATGTGTACAACATGTGACACTTTAATAAAATGTTATTATCATTCTAATTTTTTATGGAACTATTTAACACAGTGATCACATGACACCCACCCCTTTTGATGTTGGCTGCCAGGTATTGAATAGCAGAACAAACATCATCAAGCATGGTGGCTGTTCGGTGAGTTGGAGACAATAGTGTGTACTTTGTGCTGTTGGAAATTGAAATTCAATGTCCGCATCCGGATCCAGACATCTTTTATAAAAGATGCATCTTATGTATTTATTTTATTTCACATAAATATTGTCCAGTAAGCAATGTTTCCAGTAGTCTGGAGGTCCGGATAAGCAGAGGTCCTCTGTAATTACTAGACAAAGCACCATGGAGCTCCGAGAGAGATACATTTATGATGCCTTGAAACATTAGGGATGTCATGCTTAATAAGGATTGAAAATGTACTGAAAATGAGACCCTCTGAAAAAATGTTTGGCGTCACCCTCTACAAACACATGTCCGTTTTTTGAAATTTGTCCAAGCCACCAGGCTAACGCAGCTAGCAGACAAGTGGCAGCCTTGGGTAGCTCTCTATGACAGGTTACACTTACCCCACGAGCTGCTCCACCTCACTGGTGATGGTGAGATCATGACCCAGGAGGAACAGGGTGGTGATGAGGTCACTCCACTGCACCAGCTCTCCCAGGGGTCCACCTGTAACACAGATGGAGACAGTTAACACCAGAAGTGTTGGTAAGCACCTGTGACACAGATGGAGACAGTTAACACCAGAAGTGTTGGTAAGCACCTATGACACAGATGGAGACAGTTAACACCAGAAGTGTTGGTAAGCACCTGTGACACAGATGGAGACAGTTAACACCAGAAGTGTTGGTAAGCACCTATGACACAGATGGAGACAGTTAACACCAGAAGTGTTGGTAAGCACCTATGACACAGATGGAGACAGTTAACACCAGAAGTGTTGGTAAGCACCTGTGACACAGATGGAGACAGTTAACACCAGAAGTGTTGGTAAGCACCTGTAACACAGATGGAGACAGTTAACACCAGAAGTGTTGGTAAGCACCTGTAACACAGATGGAGACAGTTAACACCAGAAGTGTTGGTAAGCACCTGTGACACACACAGTTAATTCTAGAGGTACTGCCAAGTACCTCTGACACACAGTTAATTCTGGATGTGACTCTGAAATGTGTAAGTGATTTCTGTATGTTTCCATGGAAAAGCATGAACTTGGCATGGTAGTTAGCAACTACGCCTAGTTCAATTAAAGGCACACTGACTTTCTTCATTTTTCAGGCACTTAGGTTTGAAATAAGTATCTCAGAAAAGGTCAAATACTCAGACCAGTGCACATCCTAATCAGATAATTTGTAAATACCTTTAAACTGCATTTCAGCAAACTTCCATCCTGACTGTTTGGACAACAAGCCCAAATGAACTAGAATCTGAAATGAAATATCAAATTTAGTTGTATATTAAGTATGCCACAGTCTGCAATATTCAAAGCAGTCAAACACGATGATACAATCAGCCTTTTCGTACATTGTAAATACCTGATACTCATTAGTGTGCTCAAAATACCAACTTTACAACGGTTGTATCACGGAATTGAGTCCCAAGTCTACAGTGACATGTACCTTTTTCTTCTTCCGGTGCCCCAGATTCTGCTTGGCAGAGAGTCTGTGAATGGCAGATGACCATTTGTCCCACATCCGTGTGATGCGCATCCTGATCCATGCATAACCCTGCCTCTCATTGGGATCTCGCAGTAGTGCCATGAGATCCTCCAGGTTACTGGTGATGTTAGCCTGGGAACATTTTGTTAAGTATCATAGAGATTCAGGTGGCATTACCTTGGTAACAAAGAGTTCAGTATAGGGAATCAGGTGACATTACCTTGGTAACAAACAGTTCAGTTTAGGGAATCAGGTGGCATTACCTTGGTAACAAACAGTTCAGTATAGGGAATCAGGTGACATTACCTTGGTAACAAACAGTTCAGTATAGGGAATCAGGTGGCATTACCTTGGTAACAAAAAGTTCAGTATAGGGAATCAGGTGGCATTACCTTGGTAACAAACAGTTCAGTATAGGGAATCAGGTGACATTACCTTGGTAACAAACAGTTCAGTATAGGGAATCAGGTGGCATTACCTTGGTAACAAACAGTTCAGTTTAGGGAATCAGGTGGCATTACCTTGGTAACAAACAGTTCAGTATAGGGAATCAGGTGACATTACCTTGGTAACAAACAGTTCAGTATAGGGAATCAGGTGGCATTACCTTGGTAACAAACAGTTCAGTATAGGGAATCAGGTGGCATTACCTTGGTAACAAACAGTTCAGTATAGGGAATCAGGTGACATTACCTTGGTAACAAACAGTTCAGTATAGGGAATCAGGTGGCATTACCCTTTGTAACAAACAGTTCAGTATAGGGAATCAGGTGGCATTACCTTGGTAACAAACAGTTCAGTATAGGGAATCAGGTGACATTACCTTGGTAACAAACAGTTCAGTATAGGGAATCAGGTGACATTACCTTGGTAACAAACAGTTCAGTATAGGGAATCAGGTGGCATTACCCTTTGTAACAAACAGTTCAGTATAGGGAATCAGGTGGCATTACCTTGGTAACAAACAGTTCAGTATAGGGAATCAGGTGGCATTACCTTGGTAACAAACAGTTCAGTATAGGGAATCAGGTGGCATTACCTTGGTAACAAACAGTTCAGTATAGGGAATCAGGTGGCATTACCTTGGTAACAAACAGTTCAGTATAGGGAATCAGGTGGCATTACCTTGGTAACAAACAGTTCAGTATAGGGAATCAGGTGGCATTACCTTGGTAACAAACAGTTCAGTATAGGGAATCAGGTGGCATTACCTTGGTAACAAACAGTTCAGTATAGGGAATCAGGTGGCATTACCCTTTGTAACAAACAGTTCAGTATAGGGAATCAGGTGGCATTACCGTGGTAACAAACAGTTCAGTATAGGGAATCAGGTGGCATTGCCTTGGTAACAAACAGTTCAGTATAGGGAATCAGGTGACATTACCTTGGTAACAAACAGTTCAGTATAGGGAATCAGGTGGCATTACCTTGGTAACAAACAGTTCAGTATAGGGAATCAGGTGACATTACCTTGGTAACAAACAGTTCAGTATAGGGAATCAGGTGACATTACCTTGGTAACAAACAGTTCAGTATAGGGAACCAGGTGACATTACCTTGGTTACAAATAATGTTTATTCAAGTTTCAAGTTGTTTTTTGTTTTCCTTTCTTCATTCGATTTACATGTCAGTATCCAGGAACGGATAAGAACCGATTGTAAAGCAGTGTGCACATATTCACGGAATCACAAGTCATTTGTGACATGGGAGCAAGAAATCAGAATGTTCCACTGTACAATAGATACTGAACCAACTCACATAAAGAGGTGCTGCTTCCTTCAGCTTCAGTTTCATGGAGCCACCCCAGGCCTTCTTTGGACACCAGCCTTCCACCTGAAAATATAGTCTCCTCCCTTGTACCACCACACACTCCGTCCCACAACACATTACACCGTCACGCTCAACAAATATCTAATTTAATCACAATAATCATCATTATTAGGCTTAAAAAAATATAAGAATTGGTTCTCAGGTAATGGCTATTGAAATTATCACGGGGGGGGGGGGGTTATTCCTTTTAGTTGTTCAAGCTACCGTATATCGCTATGTATAAGGCGACCCCACGTATAAGACGACCCCCCTGTACACGCCTTTAAAAATCAACCCAAAATCCTATACTCCGTGTATAAGGCGATCTGGATTGAAACACATCACAAGTCTGACTGATATAGAAGATTTAACGTGCGCTTTCCGACTGTAGCGTATTTCGCACACGGACATCACAAGTGCGCACACAAACCTTATATATGCAATAAAAATATGTTTATCTTGCGTTGTTTTTTTTTTCTACAATGATAGGTCGCGTGTGTAACTCCAGCACACGTCGCCATTTTGTGTTTACACGGTACGACACCAAATTGGTGCCCGTTAAATAAAATTCACTTATGAAGTAAAAACATATAAGAGACAATGGTGAGTAATTTAATCGCCAATTAACTATGTTGTAACTAACTAGGCTTATGTTTGCTTCACATTCAGCGTGTTTATTCCACAATCACTTGTACACACTGTCTCCAACACTTGTTAATACAACTGTAAAAACAGCGGGAATTGATTTCGGCTTCACCGGTTATCACATGTTAGGTCACATGTGCAATATGCAAATGCTTACCAGTACTTCCGGCTCTCTACTCACGGATGTTGATTGTTTTACCGTGTCAGGTGGTTTGACAATCTGCATCGAGGCGAGGGTCATTTCAACTTTATTTGCAGAAATTATTAAACTTTATTCAAGGAAAAGAGATACAAATCATGTTTATGTATGGAAATAGTTATTGGAACAGTTATTTAGGACGAAATGTAAAGTTTTATTGTCAAATGCTGGGCTGGCTATCGGACGCCGGTTGACATCACCAGTGGAAAAAAATGTGAGATCTTCGACTCCGTGTATAAGACGACCCCCCTTCTTAGCCCCCTCATTTTAGGTACGAAAAACTCGCCTTATACACAGCGATATACGGTACTAGTATGTAACCAAATTTTGCTGACAAATCTTTTTGGGAAATCATGTTGTACATAAGTATTGTAGCATTTAACTGCCAGGGTTGTGTGTTCAAGACACAGAATATTTTAAGATTATCAAATTATTTTAAAAAAAATGGAAATAAAAAAGGAAACATGCGGCCGACTTTATGATGATGTGGGCAGTGCATGAGAACCAAGACTATTATTTTTTTGGCCTTATCAATGATGTTCTTATTATCGAAAAACAACATCGTTCTTCATCATAGCATCCTCTTACTTCACAGTTTCTACACAATGCTAGTTTGTAATTGTATCTGTAACATTTGTCAGGAATATCCATTCTAACACAGTTGTAAACTGATATCTTAATTGTTATGTTTAATACTCTGCCAACATGAAAGTTGACATAGTTTATAATTACAGGACAAATCATTCACTTATGGGAATGGTGGCCGATACCAGGGCCTACAGTTTGTAACAAACTAAATTCTTGAAAAAAGCGAACAGCAGTGAAACACCAGTAACATTTCTGTGGATGCAACATGTCTGCTCACCTCACTGAGGTACATGACGTAGGAGCAGTCAGAGCCGTCCACACCATATGTCGCATAGCACGGGTCAGACTTCCACATCTTGCTCATCCACTGAAACATAATATCATACAGCCCTCTGTGTACACTGACAACTGGAAAACAACAACGAGGGAGTGAAACTGACAACAATGCTACAGCAAGCAATCACTGCTCTCTTGAGTCCTCACAATGTGAGGCCAGTGTGTGGAATCAAACTCAGGCCATGGGAAGGATTAAAATTATCTACACCTTGCCAAACAGAATACATGCACAGTTAATCAAAGTTGTTCTAGTCATGAATCTAGGTTTAGAATCATTGGGGTTTTAGACACGATTACATAGAATACTTTTGTTTGAATTTCCAAATTTCCAAACTACCTACTGTATAAACTACTTCATGAAACATAGCACACAGACATTATTTTTCATGTATTATTCATTTATCCATAAGGTTACTGTTAGCAACATTGCAACAAAGCAAATGTTTCATCTTCATCACTACTGCCATTTCAGAAGAAATCGAAATGGACTATAGACCATGAGCCTCAAAACTCGGTTCTACCAACAGACAGGTAGAGAACAAAGCTGATCATATTTGTTCCACTTGTCCATGGGCAGCTATGCTCCTACCTTCATCTTGCCCTCACAATGAGGGTACTGTGCCTTGTCCTCATCGGTCAGCTTACAGTTTATGCTCTTGCCATTGATCAAATCTGTAACACAAATTGTTATCTTTTATAGTTTATAGTACTGCATTTCAGTGAAAATATTTGCCATGTCTCCATATCTGCCTGAGTTCTACATGTCCGTGTTCACTAGATTTGGCCTATGTGCTACTGGTGTCTTCTACTCACCTCTACCACTGATCCAAGACTCAGACAGTGTCCTACTGGTGTCTTCTACTCACCTCTAGCACTGATCCAAGACTCAGACAGTGTCCTACTGGTGTCTTCTACTCACCTCTAGCACTGATCCCAGGCTTGTGTTTTTCTTCCAGCTTTAAAGTAGCATTGATGGTGTCGTTGACGAGGGTGGTGTTGATGACAAGATTGACAGCACTCTCCAGGCGCTGCAACCTCTCCAGCATACTCTCCAACAACACAGCCATTGTCTTCTTCAGATCTAGAACACCAGTGTACAGAGGGTGAGTGAATGAATGAGTAAATGCTGTGTAACCCCACAGCCAGAATATACCAGCTATATGACAGCTGCCTGTACATAACTCTAGACCCAGAAACCAACTGCCTGAAAACAAGCAACAACCCCAGCCACAAAAGGCAATCAACCAAAACACACAGCTAGACCACCCGATCCAGTTAGCCACCCTTTACAACTAATAACTAAGCTCTGGAGAGTCGAACCCCGGTCCCCAAAGGGTAAGTGTACAAGGAAATGACACCATTGCTTCCTTGGACTAGTAATGGTGCACTATTATTTTGTGTGCCTTGATATCAGACTATGAGACCAAGTATTGGTGCACAATGATTCTATGTTCCTTAATATCATACAGCGACACTGTAAGGTACACACAAGTATTGGTGCACAATGATTCTATGTGCCTTGATATCATACAGTGACACTGTAAAGTTTACACAAGTATTGGTGCACAATAATTCTATGTTCCTTGATATCATACAGTGACACTGTAAGGTACACACAAGTATTGGTGCACAATGATTCTATGTGCCTTGATATCATACAGTGACACTGTAAAGTTTACACAAGTATTGGTGCACAATGATTCTATGTGCCTTGATATCATACAGCGACACTGTAAGGTACACACAAGTATTGGTGCACAATGATTCTATGTTCCTTGATTTCATACAGCGACACTGTAAGGTACACACAAGTATTGGTGCACAATGATTCTATGTGCCTTGATATCATACAGTGACACTGTAAAGTTTACACAAGTATTGGTGCACAATAATTCTATGTTCCTTGATATCATACAGCGACACTGTAAGGTACACACAAGTATTGGCGCAAAATGATTCTATGTTCCTGAATATCATACAGCGACACTGTAAGGTACACACAAGTATTGGTGCAAAATGATTCTATGTTCCTTGATATCATACAGCAACACTGTAAGGTACACACAAGTATTGTGCACAATGATTCTATGTTCCTTGATATCATACAGTGACACTGTAAGGTACACACAAGTATTGGTGCACAATGATTCTATGTTCCTTGATATCACACAGTGACACTGTAAGGTTCGCACAAGTATTGGTGCACAATGATTCTATGTGCCTTGATATCACACAGTGACACTGTAAGGTTCGCACAAGTATTGGTGCACAATGATTCTATGTGCCTTGATATCATGAGACCATGCAGCAAAACAAAACAATTTCATGAATATTTGAGGAGGAGATGAATGAAGAAGAATTGTAAGATAATATTTGTGAACAAGCATATGAATAATCTTAAACCATTGTTACTCTATTTGACTTGGTCACGCCATTGTCCACTCTAACCACATGGATGAGGTACAAGGAACCTGTTCTGCCGGGGCATGTCACGGCATACAGGGAACAGGGGAAACATACCATAAGCTGTGAACCTGCCGGCGTAGGGTCCATCCACCATGTCTCCGTTTTCCCTGGATAGAGCTTTCACATACTCCTCACTCAGGCGGATGATCTCATTCTGGGGGAAATACACACGAAGGTCAATACATAACTTTATACTGTGGTAAGCAATGGATGATCTAATTCTGGGGGAAATACACACAAAGGTCAATACATAACTTTATACTGTGGTAAGCAATGGATGATCTTTTTCATGGGGAAATACACACAAAGGTCAATACATAATTTTATACTGTGGTAAGCAATGGATGATCTCATTCTGGGGGAAATACACACAAAGGTCAATACATAACTTTATACTGTGGTAAGCAATGGATGATCTTTTTCATGGGGAAATACACACAAAGGTCAATACATGATTTTATACTGTGGTAAGCAATGGATGATCTCATTCTGGGGGAAATACACACAAAGGTCAATACATAACTTTATACTGTGGTAAGCAATGGATGATCTTTTTCATGGGGAAATACACACAAAGGTCAATACATAACTTTATACTGTGGTAAGCAATGGATGATCTCATTCTGGGGGAAATACACACAAAGGTCAATACATAACTTTATGCTGTGGTAGGCAATGGATGATCTCATTCTGGGGGAAATACACACGAAGGTCAATACATAACTTTATACTGTGGTAAGCAATGGATGATCTCATTCTGGGGGAAATACACACAAAGGTCAATACATAACTTTATACTGTGGTAAGCAATGGATGATCTCATTCTGGGGGAAATACACATGAAGGTCAATACATAACTTTATACTGTGGTAAGCAATGGATGATCTCATTCTGGGGGAAATACACACAAAGGTAAATACATAACTTTATACTGTGGTAAGCAATGGATGATCTCATTCTGGGGGAAATACACACAAAGGTCAAGACATAACTTTATACTGTGGTAAGCAATGGATGATCTCATTCTGGGGGAAATACACACAAAGGTCAATACATAACTTTATACTGTGGTAAGCAATGGATGATCTCATTCTGGGGGAAATACACACAAAGGTCAATACATAACTTTATACTGTGGTAAGCAATGGATGATCTCATTCTGGGGGAAATACACACGAAGGTCAATACATAACTTTATACTGTGGTAAGCAATGGATGATCTAATTCTGGGGGAAATACACACAAAGGTCAATACATAACTTTATACTGTGGTAAGCAATGGATGATCTTTTTCATGGGGAAATACACACAAAGGTCAATACATAATTTTATACTGTGGTAAGCAATGGATGATCTCATTCTGGGGGAAATACACACAAAGGTCAATACATAACTTTATACTGTTGTAAGCAATCGATGATCTTTTTCTTGGGGAAATACACACAAAGGTCATTACAAAACTTTATACTGTTGTAAGCACCGGATGATCTTTTTCTTAAGGAAATACACAAGAATGTCAATACCGTATTCGACGTAATAAGCGCCCCGCTCAAATAAGCGACCATGGCGATATTTGCTGATATATTGGCTAGTAAACAATCCTAATTAGCACCCCTTCCGATTGATCAATGTACACAAGACTTATTTATTCGCGTATATATGCACTCGTGGGTTATATGCACCCTTAATTATAGGCAATTACATTCTGGAAAAATATATCTGTCGTACATAAACATTTCAGGCTGTCACCTTAAACCACGAAATTTATCTTTCAACTCTGTTTTTTTCCACCAAAATAATATTCTAATAAGAGCCCCCTACTTCTTATTTTGAGAGCGCCCTGGGCGCTTATTACGTCGAATATGGTACATTACTTGATACTGTTGTAAATAATGGACAACAGTGTGGCCCCACTTTGGGGGATGTAAGATATCTGGAAATACTGTCCTCCGGTCAAAAAGGTCAATATTCACTGACAATGCAACTTATCACATAACATTAAATATTCATTCTGGGCATCTGGCTTCTGGATGTTAACAGTCATATATATATATATATATATATATATATATATATATATATATATATATATATATATATATATATATATACACACACACACACACATGTGTATATATATATATATATATATATATATATATATATATATATATATATATATATATATATATACATACACACACACACACACACACACACACACAATACTAAAACACATGGTGCATGAGAAATGCTGCCATTTACTGTCACTTAATTCCATCTTGCTGGACTTTTATGGCTCAGAGATCTGGTAGTTAACTACAGATTCAAGCGTTCCCTGGGTTCAAGCCCATTCTGGTCCCCTGCCATGATTTGACTGGAATCTTGTCAAATGTAGCATAAAACAATACTCTCTCATTTAATGTTCCTTCTAGAATTTGTTAATTATCAATAGTATCAAAACTGTCGCTAGTCTAATGCAATATCAACGATAGATGTGCTAACTGGTCGTTGACGTAGGACTTGTCATTGAGTCATAGACAATGGGAATGTATCAATTTCCCTAAGGAGCCATGAATCCACCATGAAATAGTCCTATAGTACTGCCAGAAAATAATAAAATCATTCTTAATTTCACGTTATTCAAAACCCCAGAGTTTTGACAGCTGAGACTGTCATTCGTGTTGCGCACCGCTCACCAGATGATTAATATATCATAGGAGTTGGGGAAATGCTGCTGTCACAGTTCAAGTCACCCATTCACATTGCCAATACAAATTACAATCCATTAGCTGAGAAATGACACTTTCTGACTTCCAAACCATCCCAGAAGCATGAAGAAATGATTGCTCTCCTGTAACCTGCAGCTCTCCATTCCTTGTTAACATAATGGTACCATGGTTAAATTCTAATGTTTCAAGTAGAAATCTGAAGCCCCTCAGCACAGCTTCATGAAAGAACGTGGAATGTTCAATAATGTCAATAATGCTTTACCAAGTCTGTATGATATTATCACGTAGACATGCAAATATCAAGTATATTTATCAATAAATTATGGTCAGTGTAATTGGGATATGAAGGTTTGTGTTGTGTTACCATTGATAAGGAATCTAATTTGTATCACTTCTGTCCTCCAAAAGCAGTGTAAATCCGACAGCAACCGCCATAACATTGGCGTTTTTAACCATGTGTAAATGCAATGTTAGTTATTCCAACCAAGGCTAAACATGCCAAACTTACATGTAGCAGTTTTATTGCTTCATTCGGACTCCACTTGAATGTTTTATTTACTGTATTCAACCAAGTAAGCCAGTTCATTTGGTCAAATGAAACACATGTATATCAGGTAGAGCAATTTAATGTGTTTCACCTAAGTTAGATATTTTAGATTGTGTATATAAGGACTTCCATTTTGTAATGCCATCAACATCAGCCATCTGGTAAAGTTTCTGCTGGTCTAGTAAAACATGCTTATGCTAGTCCATGTGCTAAGACTAAAATCTATTAAAAATAATGCCAAAATACAAGTTCAGACATGTTTTTGACACAGACTGTCCACTACAGACAATAACCTCCCACTCTACATGATCACGGTACAGACACACAGAGCAACTAGAGGCATTGTAGAGGCATGGTAGGTGTGTAGAATGGACACCAAAATTGCTTCATTGTCATAACAAAATAATACAGAAATACATTCAGACATACTGGTAATTATTTTCCTGAGTGATCATGGCCAAGTGATCTCTAGCTATGTATATCTAGCTATGCATGTAATCTCAACAAGTCACTCCCTGTTTAATCAATTACGGGCAAACATTGAAAATTAGAGAAACAGTTGACCAAATGATAAAAATAGGTCCAATTTCCATTTTGGTAGTCTTTATAAAACCTCACATATTCTACAATAACAGTCTTATTTCAATCATTATGCTGATATTCTCAATCTAATAAAATGACCTAAAAATCAAAGTTCTCATATCATGCCACACATCTGCAATTCACATAAACACTTCTGACGCATACCACTGCCTCTCTGCCTTTATGAAGTAGATTGTAGATACCTTTAGCACTTCACTCTCCTTGGGTGGCTTGACACTATTGATGAGTGTTATGTTGGCGAGAGTGACGCACCAGACGATGAGCAGCAGCACCAAGAGCACCACCACCTTGCGGTAGATGTTGCGCGTCAGTCGACGCCATAATGGCAACGGCATCTTTCTCACACCATCTGTAAAATGATGGACAAGAAAATTATAAGAGACGATTTGTTAGACTTCTGAACATGTTATGCTTAAATAATAAATGGTTCACTCTTAAGAGTCTATACCAAAACAAGCCGACATACTGCCTACAGTAGCATCCTTGTCACACATGGTCAATGTGCACCTCTGTATTCTCTAAACAGAAAAAAACTAAAATTATGGTATCTCAAGGTTTTCCCCGGAGTCAATGCATCCTGGTTAAGATGTTTCATAATAATGTCTCTGTCAATCCTGCCATAAGCACTTTACCCCCAACGGAGTCACCCCTCTGTAAGTTATCAAAGAAGCTGAAACATGTGACCCAATTGTGGACACAAGACAGGAGGCTGTGTAATAACTAGATGCAACAAACGTAAATCATTCAAGTCAGATCATTGATGTATAATGGAATCAGAAGTGTAGTGGGCAATAGAGTTTATTGCTAGCTATGAGCGCATGGTCTACATGAAGGCAGACATAATGGAAGATCTCTTCCCTTCTCTCCACTAGTTAAAGAGTTACCAAAGGAATTAGGCTGCTGGGAGTTATCTCCCATAGAGATTCTATGAATATGACCTTAAGACATAAGATCTTCAATCTTTGGAATAAAAAGCTTACACTACGTGTCAAAATAAAACTGCACATTGTGGTCTACAATTCTATGGAGACCCGTGCAAAGAAGTCTCATCAATATATTCGGAGTACCATATACAGAGCCTATTAGTTAGTACTTAAATATTTTAGTATAATTGAAGGGAAAGATGTGAACCTGGCATGCCTTTTGATGCCAGACGACATTTCTTCGCATCCAAGAGTGATTGAGGTGGGCAACCATGAACTCCACCTAAAGTCCCCTACTGACAACAGACTACAAAATGTCTTGACCATTCAAGAGTTTATTGTAGCATTCACCCGGTATAGGAACATAATGGTACAGGAGTGGCCAGGCCGAAAAGACTCTTTGGACCGTTATCAATGATTGATTGTAGAAATGCATGCCAGGTTTGGAGGTACGCTTTTCTACCAATACCACAAAATGTTCTCGTCTAAAGCAGCAGCGGCTCTAGCACTCACCAATCATTTACCACCATGGGATCGACATGATGAACACCTGTATTTTACTATGGTAGCTGGGCACCATGTCAATTCCTGCGAACTGTGCTTCTTGTCCGACCACAGCACAGACTTTTGTCCACTGATCAGCAGCCGTTCGTGTGTCTTAAGGCTTCGAAGATGGATCCATTCCGGAAAGGGGTCGTCACCACCTTACACAGGCTGTACGAGACCCCGTTATGCTGCCCAGTTAGGACTCTCCTGCAATACCTTGTTCTTCGCAACCAGAGGACGTCAAATCCTTTAGATCCTGTTCCTCATGCCTAATGGTGTAGCCATGGACGGAAAGTTTTTCATTGACCATCTAAAACTTGTGTTGCATAGATCTGGGTATGACCACACAAATTACAATGGACATTCATTTAGAATTGGTGCAGCCACCACTGCAGCAACGGCAGGCATAAACCTTGGGACGTTGGTCGTCGGACTGCTACAACCGCTACATACGCACAGAACAATGGAACATCCATCAAGCCCAGCTGGCCATGGCACGGTTGTAACCTCACATGGTAATTAGTTTCCTGATGCATGGTGTGCCAGAGACATGTGTTATGTTATTGAACAGTGACTGCAGACTTTCACTGATATTCACACACCTTCTCCAGTGTTGGCAAGTCCAGTATTTGTCAAGATATGGTGTGCAGGCCTTACACCCCCCATGTGCCACATTTCACTTTCAGTCAATCATGTTAATATCTTATCACCCCCTTTAGTTTGCTATATCTGTCTCATCATTTTGGGGATTCTTCAAAATAATCTTCAACAATTCACAGTTGCTTTGGTAGGCATACACCTTCAGTCGTCTACACCCGTCGGGGTATTGTCTGTTGGCTACATGGTTATCTGTAGCTAGTTTATACCCGTTGGGGTATCGTTGGCCAGCTACACTGTCATCTGTAGCTAGTTTATACCCATCGGGGTATCGGTTGTCTGGCGTCAGACTACAGCTGACTGAAGGCGTATCTCAATTGCTGTCACGTAGCACACCCTTAGTTAGCTTACCCATCAGGGTAAAGCAGTAGCGTTCTATTTTGTCAATAAACAGTTTGCTACCGGCTCAACGAGAATCCCCAATTAAGCCAAAAACAATAAATATTTTATTTAACATTTGCCTTATGTTGTCTTGTCTGAATCCGAGGAAATAAATTAGTACTTAAATATTTTAGTATAGTTTATGGCATCCTCTGGTCGGACAAGGTCCCTTCATGTACATAGCACACCATTTATGTATCATGCTTGTATCTCTAACCTGTGTTTAATAACCTTACATCGCATCACAATGGTATGATCACTTTCTATTTCATATATTCCTACTTTTGTTAAAACTATGGGAATACACAGCAGCCTTGCAATCACTGTTTATAAAATATTAGTCCTATTTATATGACAGAACATTATCCTAATGCCCTATTATAATCAACGATCGTGTATCCGTCCGTATTTGAGAGTTTTTAACTATGTAAATATGCGTATGCAGTTCAACCACTGTTTGTTTATCAGTCCATATTTTGGTATAAGCCAGGTAAACATAGGTCGTGCGCATGCGCAACTTTTCCCTTTATTCTACACAGTCAGCCATTAATCGTGTCTCGAGTAATTTTAAGTGCAAACATTATCCCACCTCCACCCACACCACCACCTTTATTTGCAGGTCATGGATAGCTCCCAGCATTTTGTTCTTCTTCTCATCCGTTTAGGTGATGTCCTCCGACACTTATTAACACATATACTATAACTTGCTCAAATATGTTTATATCATGTTCTGGTCTCGCTCATGCTTTTGCAGGTCTTTTGTTTTGTACCACCATGCCATGTACATCATGGGATTCTAGTGGAGCCGGCGGCATCATAACCTCAAAGGCATAGGCGGGCATGTAGGCATGTATCACCCCAAGCATGGGGCATGTATCACGCATGTTCACCCCAAAATAATCTTCAACAATTCACAGTTGCTTTAGTAGGGCATACACCTTCAGTCAGCTACACCCGTCGGGGTATCGTCTGTTGGCTACATGGTTATCTGTAGCTAGTTTATACCCATCGGGGTATCGGTTGTCTGGCATCAGACTACAGCCGACTGAAGGCGTATCTCAATTGCTGTCACGTAGCACACCCTTAGTTAGCTTACCCATCAGGGTAAAGCAGTAGCATTCTATTTTGTCAATAAACAGTGTGCTACCGGCTCAACGAGAATCCACTTCTGAATCCAAGGAAATAAATGTCACAATAAGCAATTTCCTTAAACTGATGACTAGAGTCCCAATTGATAATAAACTGAAACAATTGTCTATGAGCTGCACTGTTGGCTGAACTGCGACACCAGTTGGAAGATTTCTTACAACTACAACTAACAATAGGCGATTAATTAAAGCTCAGTTCAAGAACTCTTCTTTTCTTTTCTTTTCAAAAGCATTTGCATCAGTTCATCACAAAGTCTTTGTTCATCTTCTTTCTCTTGTGGATCTTCTTCTCAGCTGCTGGTTCTGTGTTTCATCACTGTTAAGATCTGAAGCTTCTTCCTGATGCTTCTCTGAGTCAGATGACTCTGGTTCTTGAGTTCGTGACTTCACACCAGACAGGTGTGATGCGTTCCCTACCCGATTTCCCTGCTCACCCTGAGGCATGAATGGGGCAGGTGCTTTCAGACCAGTTTCACTGTCGGTTTCTAGATCCGTACTTGATCACTAACTGAGACACTTGGTGTCTTAGCACCTCTCAAGCATTTGTGATGCCTGCCATGTCGAGACCAGTTCTCATCCTCAGACCATGTAGTAGGAATCATGGGGATTCCTCTGTGGTCGCATGAGGAGCTGTGCGGTAGATATACAGAAGTTCTTTAACTGAAAGCTTGAGTGGTTCACTCTGAAGTTTAGCAAGTTGTATGCAACTTTTCAGATTCCTGTTGAATCGTTCGATAAGCCCATTTGCTTGTGGGTAATATAGAGCAGACTTAATGTGCTTGATGTTTCTGTCCTTCGGAAACTGCTCAAACTGTTCGGAGACAAATTGTGAATCATTATCTGAGAAAATTATCTGAGACTTTATCTGAGACAACCTGGCTGAAGATGCATTACAGGTTCTACTACACTAAATCAGAACTGGTTGTGACAGTGCGGTTTTCGTAGGGAGCCTTCAGTACAGATCAAGAGACATATGCAGGCTGTGATTGGATGATATTGTGTAAGATTTTTATGTCTTTTAAATGCACATCCATCCAGTAATTAAAACTGCCCATATTTTTCAATATTTGGTGCTGACTTTTTGAACAAGATGACTTGTGCTTTATGTGAGCACAGATATTTTCAAGCAGGTGATATTTGGTGCGGAACTGGGGTTGGTGTGTTCAGCTTCCTGTACTCGGAAAAGGAGCTGGGTAAACTAGCCAAAATTTGTGTTTTTATTGCAGCTTTAAGGCCAGACTGTGCACATATGTAAATGTTATGGCTGTTGAATGCCTAGTTGTTTTTTAAAAGGCTATAACGTTACTATAGAAGTCTATGGGAAAACATTTGGTTGTGTGTAACCTGTAGGGTAAGTGCATATTTCAGCATTTCCTAATTTATATGTTTTCCTGTATATCTATTGCCATGGAGACCTTTTGGGATAATTGTAGAGGCAAATTTGAACGCAAAATGGGTGAAGCGAGTGGGAAATGGGGTTGTAAGGAATGGTTGGGCTGCCGTGATAAGCAGGGCTATGGTCGTTGCTTCTTTTTGTGGCCGTCAAAGGCGCGGACAGAGGAGAGAGCTCACAGAATAGCCCTCTGCATTGTGCATAAATGCCTTCCAGATGGTTTTAGCAACACTGACAACTTTGGCAACAAAGTTGAAGTGAGCCATCTCTGTCATAACGCCTCTTGTGTGAATGTTGAGCA